GTTAGCACCCCTATTTTTCAAAATGTCGAGGATATACAGCTAAGATTAAACCTGTGGAAAACAAACCCTGGGTGTCATGGTTGCTGCTGAAATAGCAAATCATAAGCCTTTAAAGTTTTACAGCTGAAGAGACAAAAGTGTCCGTCTGAATAAGCCACTTAAATAATGCAAATTCAATTCACTTTCGATTGTTCAAAGCCAAGTCCAAAGGCTTCTGGACTTCGTAACCAAATGTGACTGAATCCCAGGGTGTTAGTGCGAATTCCGCTGCCAACACAATCTGCATGTCGGGAAGACAGGCTGAAACCCGGAGTCGGGCTGCGACGCGCCCAGCCGGCCTCACGTGCAATCCCGTGACTGACAGACGGTTTGAGAGGAGCGGGTGACTGTGGCTTCTCCTCCCCCGTGGGTCCCGTGGCATCGGATCCGTGCCCTGTCCCCCTGCTCGGGCCTGATTCTGGATGTGCCTATGGCTCGTTGGAGCTTCTATAGGCAGTTCCAATCCCACAAGCAGGAGGGATGTAAAAACCCCAACGTGGACCACCTCCAGGGCTTGTATGCGTTTTCCCTTCTCTCTCTCACTCACGTCTTTCTCAACGAAACAAACACCCCAGAAGGTCAAGCACTAAACAGTGCTCTGGTCGGTGTCCCTCCGCATGAGAGGACCTCCGGGCTGGAGGACATGAGCGGGAAGACGCTTGCCGTCTGTGGTTATCCATCGACTGGTGTCTTCAGGAAGCGAGAAGTGGAACTCCCAGCCAGCGGCGATGCCGCCAGGGGCTTCTGCAGTCTATCACCCGGGAGGAGCTGCCAACGTGACAAACGGCGCATTTTTAAGTCGTGGGATCGCCCCTTGGCCAGGCCCCCCTGGTTTGACGAGCGGTTACTTTTGCTCTTGGTGCCTTTTCTCATCTCCTCCTCCTTTTCATTTTCTCCCTCTGTGCCTCTCATCAATAAAGGTCACTGTGCTAAAGAAACGGCTTCCGTGGGAAGACTTTAACAGCATCCATTACAGGCGCGTTGTCTTGTTCAGAAGTAGGTGGCATCACCTGTCAGCCAGGCTCTGGACGCAGCAAAGAGCTGCCACCCAACTCAGCAGATGAGGCGGCCGAAGGAGGCAGCCCTCTGGAGGCTGCAAACTCTCATTTCCACCCCCGTGAGGAGACTGACTTATTGACAGAGACGACTGCAAATGCGTGAGCGTTCCAATAAGCAGCCTGCACTGAGGCAGACAGACAGTCTGGCGGAGGCGAGCTCCGTGCCCCACCGTGCAGCCCGGCCAAGCCTCACACAGCCACGCAGCCTGTGGCATATGCCAACCCGGAGCCTCCCGACACCCTCCAGCAGCCCCTCTGCACCCCCACTCCCAGCCTGCTGGTGCCTCTCCTGAAGCCCAACCACAGATCGACATGAACTCAGGGACTCTGCCAGAAACCAAACCTTCAGACTGATTCAGGGGCCCCGGGCTGGGCCTGGGTAACGCGCAGGGCAGTCTTCCCAGGGAGCCCTCTGGCCTCATGGCACGTTCCAGGTAAGCCACTAGATGTCACCACCATGGACTCTGGTGCTTGCTCCCAGGCCCTGGGTACCAGGCAGCGTCCCAGAGACTCAGGGAACTGTACAGAATTCCCTCACCACCTGGACGGCAGGGCTGATTCAGATGCTGCGACAGTCTGAGCTCCTCCGTGGGACTCTTCTAAACCAGTCAGCGCCTCAGACCCAGAACAGCGGAGCTGAAAGTTAAGCGAGACCCGTGTCAGCTAGAGCCAAGCCCAGCCCTCACAGCAGGCGCCCCGGTCTTCCTCCTGCCCTTCGTCGCCATGGGCTGCGGTGTGTCCTTCCGGCACATTCAGATCCGCAGTAAGAAACGAATGAACATGTGTGCCTTGCAGCACACAGCATCTTAGATGTCGGTGTGCTGCTGAAATAATGCAGGTCTGTGGCTTTTAGCCGAGAATGAATGACAGATGGGTAATTTATGATGATTCTTGAGACCCGAACTATAATTATGAAGTATTTCTAAGTGTACATTCAGGGTGCCAAGCGTAAAGAACCCAGAGCTAATGCTAATTTATTACTGATAGCTGTATATATAATAATATATCATGTCTTTTAATCTCACATTCCTTCTGACTTACATCAAGCCATCATTCCATTCATTAATAAAATCAAGCCTTGTCGTTATTTCTAATGACGAAGTCCCATTTTGAACCCGGAGGACTCCTGTAATTAAACTCCCTACTTCCATATACCAGACATCTGAAGAGCACAAAAAGGATGGATTGAACTCTTGTTTTACAGGCAGGAAAAAGACTCCAGAAACATGGAGCCCTCATGATCCCACGAGGCACAAAACAGAAAGTCAGGGAAAGTGTCTGTTTACCTTCTCAGCCACAAAACCACATTCTCTTTTCTCCCTTTTGGCCTTCCCACATCCACTTACTCTTCTACAATCTATCCTTTTTGGAGGCGGTATACTCAAAGTATATTTTTTAAAAGATCATGATAAAAATTACAACAAAAACAGATACAGGCTACCTTGTCTCCTCCAATTTTCTGTGCTGTGCCAAAGACTTACATGATTAATCCCTTCTAAAGAAATCTAATCTAATCTTATTACACCAAAGACAGGGTGTCCTTCATAACTATCATACCTGGAAACAAGTTGGTTTTCTAAGTTCCAGCTGATTCGGCATCTCATCCATCTCCCTCCCTGCACTGCCCTTCAGTGTTCCCCAAATTTAAACAGTGCTCTGGTTTGGGTTGTGAAGCAAACGCCATGTATTATCAGACTCCCCCACTCTAGAAGAGACAGACCCATGATGCTTGTAGAAAAAGTAAAACCTTTAACCTCATCAACTAATTAATGATCCCAAAGTGAAATAATGAGATGTGTGAAGATAGGGATTCAGTTGTCTGGGTCATTGCTCATGTAGAGACAGAATCAGATTCCACAGAGTAGGTGCTGATAATGAGTAAGCGAGTTTCCTATCTATGGCACTCAATCTTACTATGATTGGTTAATTAAATCATGATAAATAACATTGTGGCAAGTGGAAAGTGCTTAGAAGAGTTTCAGTGAGATATCTACAAGTCCAGTGAAACTATGTCTGAATGTCTAAATGTTTACTGTAATTCTCTGGACAGCTCGTGTATAGCAAAGAGAAATACTGAGGTGTGGCTGCACTGGCTTTTTTAAGTTACCTAGGTTTTTCTGTTGGACTCTGCACCTGATACCTTTCCTGTCTTCAGGGATGGAGGTGCTGATCCTTCCTTTAACATTCCTGTCTGCCCGGAATGGTTTCTTCCCATCAGTTCCACCTCTTCCAGTGGCATTGGTGAACAGGGGAGGCGTGTCAGCATATGGTGGCCATCACGCTACAGTGACGAACAGCTCCAAAACCTCAGTGACTTCTTCACCTTACAGATCCATCATCGTGGGTTGGCTGGGGCTCAGCTCCTCAGTGTCACTCTAAAATGTAGGCTGACAAGCCAGTGGGGAATGAGCTCTCTGGTTGAAATTGCACTAGCTACTGAACAGTCCAAGGTGGCACCCCTCACTTACATCACAGTTCATAGCCAGCACGTCACAGACCACACCTCAGAGCCAGGAGGGCCAGGGCTTTGGTCTAACCTGGTGCTGGATGGGGAGGTTGTAAATAGCTGGTGAGCACCAGAGATGACTCCCTAGACTATGATTTCTCTGCTGTGTTTCTGCACCACCACCACCACCACCCGACCACCCCACCACCCCACCCCGATCAACCAATTCTCTGATTTCTATTCTGCCCTCTTTCCGATTCATGGACATCACTACAGAAAAGCCTCTCTTTGGGATGTTATTAACTAGGGTTGTTTGTGTTGGCAGCAAAAGGGAAACGAGGGAGGCTGCACGTGGACTGTTGGACCTCACATTCTCCCTTTTAGGTATTTCTAGCTTGCCTCGATCTTCTTCCTTGCACCCTTCCCTGCTAGTCTCTTCTATTGAAAAAAATTACTTCAACCCTTCACTTTTCCTTCTTAGTCCAATTGGCAAAATATTCTCTTTTTTTTTCTTTTGCAAAATACTCTTTAAAATAGAAGAAGTATAAATGCTGGTTTCGCAACCCCCAACCTCAGATTGATGTGTCTGGAGACAGGATCTCAGGAAGTGCTGATCTGTCTGCACAGTGATTGTACGTCTTGTGGGCTCCTCCTCCCACGGACCAGACAGAGCCCAGCCTGCTGCGGAGACTCCAGTGCACCTGCTCGTCCCCAGAGGTGCTTCAGTCCATCACTGTGACCAAATCTTCCGTTTTACGGTCTCTCCACTGTTGGCGACCCGCCTGCTGAGTCCAGACCCAAGCACCCAAACCGTCCAGCGTCCTGGGTGGGGCGGAGAGCGACGCTGTTCTCGCCTCCCGCGTTACCCGACTGACCGCGGCGCACGGGCCTGGCCTGCTGGTCACGAAGCAGGTGCTACACGCGGTGCGCCCGGCAGACGGAGGGGAGGCGGAGGCTGCGTGGCGGGGTCGGAGGAGCTCTGCCCCTGAGCATCCTCCATCCCTCCCGCCCCCCTCGGGGCGCCCCTGGAGTCGACCTGGGAACCCAGCTGGACTTCGCTCTGCGCTTCAGCCACCAAAGGTCCAGCCCAACCAAAAGCCGGACCAAGTTCAGAGTCTGCGGCGACCTGGGGACACAGGCCACACGCGCCGACTGCGCCCCGACGACCCCAGGTCGGCGTCTGGCCTCGGGAGCCCCGCCCCGCACGCGCGCACGCCCCGCCCCCGCGAGCCGGTGGGCGTGGTCTGCGCGTCGCCCGCTCGCCCAGGTCGGGCGTGGGCGTGGCCTCGCGGCGCCCCGCCCCTCTGCCACCTGACCGCCCGCGGCTCACGTGACCGGCCCCGCGCCGCCATCTTGGAGCTCCGGTGAGGAGCGGAAAAGCGGGGGAAAAGGCGCTGAGCCGGGAGCGCGGCGGGAGAGGCCGAGGGCGAGGGCAGGGGGCGCCCGGCCCAGCCCAGGAGGCCCGCGGAGCAGCCGCCGCCGTCCGACCGCAGGTACCGCACCCCGGGGCCGCCCCTCGCCGCTGCGGGCGCCGCCGCGGGGCATGTGCGCCCCGCCGCCGCCCCCTGCGGTCCCCGAGCGCCCGCGGCTGCCCCGCACCGGCCCCGCCGCCCGGCCGCCAGCACTGCAGGTGCGGGCCCAGCGCGTGCGCAGCCTCCGCCCCAGAGCCGGCCGGGCGCGGGGCCCGGGGCGCCGCTCGTGCCGATGAGTGACAGCCGGGCCGCCTCTCCGCCGGAAGCCCCGCCGCCGGCCGCGCCCCGCAGTCGCCCGCGTCCCCGTTACCCGGCGGCCGCCGCTGGTCGCCGCACTTTCTCGGGGGCGCTCCGGGCCGGAGCCTGCGCCGCCGCTCAGACGGAGAGCCCGGCCCCGTGCCCTCGCCGGGGCGCCTGCTTTGCATGAGCTCCAGGGGAGGAGCGAGTGACCGTGACCCGCGTGGGGTGAAACGAACGAGCACCCGGCCTTTGAGAGTGTGTCCGGGTCGTGGAACAATCAGCAGCGAGGACACGTGGGCCCGGAGCCGGCCCTGCGTCGCGGGCGTGTGTGTCAGTGCGCCTGCGCCTCGGCCGGAGCCCCCCTCGCTCGTGGGGCCGTGGGAAGTGCGCGGTCACCCTGTGGATGGTCCCGAGTAAGGGAGTAGTTTGCAGTTCATGGTCCCTTGTCCGTGAGCAAGAGGTCTCAGGAGAACCAGTAGCACGTTCCGCCCATGAGATCAATCCCGAGCCGAAGCGGAAAAGACACAATCATGGGGGAAGTCTCCAGAGTTGTGTTTTTCTAACTTGTGCAAAGTCCTAACCTCAGTTTATTCGATAAGTTATGTAAATGCGCATCCTATAATTGGGTTCTTCTCGGCTTAGAATATTGAGAAATAGGTCACTGCCAAAAAAGTCATTACTTTGTTTCACCCAGTGAGAGAAAAGTTTGATAGAGTATATAGAATATATAGGTTCATTCTTGGCCACAGCTGGATTTTGAAGACTGAGCAATGGGACTATTAATTCAGGAATCGATTTGAAAGACACTGGCTCTGCCACTTAGCCATGTAACCTTGAGTAAGTCACTTAAAGGGCACAAAATGTTTCCTTCTTTGTAAAATTATTTAACACCTAGACCCTCCCAAGGACCACACACACTTACATGATTGGTAAAACCTAGCTGTGAAGGTCTGTTACTCTCTTCAGTATCACTACTTTTTTTTTCTTTTTTCGTCCTCACCCGAGGACACTTTTTCCATTTTTTGTTCAGATACAGCGGGAGGGAGAGAGAGGAAGAGAAAGAGAGAAACATTGATGTGAAAGGGACACATCGAGTGGTTGCCACCCGCACGACCCAACCAGGGCCGGGGACAAACTGCAATCGAGGTACATGCCCTTAGCGGGAACCGAACCCGGGTCTCTCTGGACCGCAGGCCAACACTCTGACTACTGAGCTAGACCAGCCAGGGCTCAGTATCACTACTTTCTACATGTTTGTTCTCAATCAGAAATAAGAGGAAATTGGTGTCTTAAGAAAGGATCGATTTGGAATCATATATCTTTGGATTCCAGTCATTAAACCATTTATTACTGTATATCTGTGAGTCTCGATTCCTCATCTTCATAAAAGAGGTTGTAGTACCAGGAATTACGTGAGTGATGCACAGAATCAGCACAGACACTGTCAAGGGCAAGGACCCCACCTACTCATCTTCACAGTCTCCAGCACCGTACTTGGCACATTGTAGGTGCTCAATAAATGTTATATCTTCAGTATTGGTTGACATTAGTTAGACCTTCTGTCTTCATTGTAGCTGCCAAATTACAATATTACCTCAGGCTAGATGCCAGCTAAGAAATTTTATACATATACTTGTGGTATTTATACTCAGTTTTGTCTTCATAGTAATTAATAATTACATTAAGCCCAGCTGGTGTGGCTCAGTGGATTGAGCATCATCCCATGGACTAAGATGTCCCGGTTTGATTCCCGGTCAGGACACATGCCCAGGTTGCAGCTCTGTCCCCAGAGGGAGGCATGTACACGCAGCTGATCAATGTTTCTCACATCAATGTTTCTATCTCTCGGTTCCTCTCTTTAAGAAATCAGTAAAAACATATTATAAAATAGTAACTAAACTAAGGAGACTTTAATTCAAATAACGTATAGCTGACATTAGTAAGGTAAATCTATAAATAATATGTAAGCAGTTTTGGGTAATTTTTTACAGATAAGTTTACAATTCAAGGACACAAATGTTCACCCAGCAACACTTTTGTTTTACATCTGCGTACTCTAAAACCCACAGAAACAGCCCTGGCCGGCGGCTCAGTCGGTTGAAGCATCGTCCCATACACCAAAAAGGTTTCTGGTTCAATCCCTTGTTGGAGCATATACGGGAGGCAACCGATCAATGTTTTTCTCTCTCTCGCTCTCTCCTTTCCTCCCTTCCTTCCCCTCTCTCTAAAATCAATTAAGGAACATATCCTCAGGTGAGGATAAAAAATAAAACCCACAGAAACATCGACTTCCTCAAGGTCACATAGCTAACCTCTTCCTCCAGAAGAGGAATCCACAAGTTTGTGTCCCTTGCCTTCTTTGGCTGAAACAAAAGCAATGTTTTTTATTTTAGAATTCCAGTAATCTAAGAGAATGGGGACTTGGCCGTTGTTTCTAGTTGGAAAGGAGCAAGTTCTTAGTCTGAAAAAGAGAAGGTTCTGTATAACTATTGAACTGTCTTTGTACATACATAGGAAAGTTACAGCCTTTCTCCATCCCACTGCCTGGAAGTAACTAATCAACTATGTAAATAGTCTGCAGCCATACTGCCCTGAACGCACCCGATCCCATCAGATATGTAAATAAACCAAATATGAGAATACAAGGAAGTAAAGACAGCTAAGCTAAGTTGGCTCTTTTCTTGCAGAAGATATTCGTTAAAAGCTTTGCCTGTGGAGTACTGTTCTTTGGGAGAGATTTGAGACTAGTGGAAAAGGTGGTAGAACTATTCTGGTCTGGAATACAACTTTTATTTATTTGTAATAATTTAATACATTTGATCTAATGTTATTATGTCTGAAGGCTGCAAACAAAACCCTGTTTGGTTGATGCCTCTAGTCTTTCCTCCTCCTGGCAAGTATTCCGATTCAGTCACATTGGTGTTTTCACCAGCCTCTCGATAACATGCTGCTTCTCACTCTGAGAATGTGGTGTTGCGGCTGCTCTCCTCATCACTCCCACCCTGTGTCAGCATAGCTGCAAGAGAGCGGACGGCACCTCGAACTGGATAATTCACGGAGGGTGTGTTTACAGAGATGCTCTAGGTGTAGGACTTGGGAATGCAGACCACAGGGATAACACGGTTACCCGGGGGCAGATCAGGAGAGGGAGAGGGACCAGAACCAGGATCCTGTAGAGCAGCCTGCCCAGAGGAGCACAGCCAGCTCAAGGGGACCTGGAGGAAGGCGGCTGGGAAAATGAGTATTTTGATATCACTCTGCTGCCTCCTGCTCTCCTGTCATGGCTCCCCATTGGTATAACTCCCCCAGAAACCAGAAGGCAGGGGTCCTAGTGATATACTCCCTCCTGGGACAGAGGGCCTAGAGGGACCAATGGATGACATCATTTGGAATTCAGTGTGTATTTTACCTCTTCAAGAAGCTTTTGCTTACCTTTCAAGATCAAAAGAGCTCTTCAGTCTCTTAGGATTTGGTAACTGACTGTGGTGGCCTTATGACATTCGACCTTGTGTATCGTTGCATTGTTTAAAAGCTGTTAATTCTGCCCTGGCTCAGCAGTTAGAGCATCGGCCTGCAGACCAAAGGGTCACAGGTTTGATTCCTGCTCAAGGGCATGTAGCTGGGTTGCAGGTTCGATTCCTCGCTGTGGTCAGGGTCATGCAGGAGGCAACCAATTGATGTGCCTCTTTCATATCAATGTTTCTCTCCCTCCCTCCCTTCCACTTTATCTAAAAATCAATGGAAAAATATCCTCGGTGAGGATCAACAAAAAAAGAAGAGTAAGAAGAAGCTGTTAATTCTTTTACACTTCTAAATAGGTGTCTTATTCACCCAACTCAGCTTTAAACTGTGAGTACTGTACATGTAAATTGCTCCATTCTTCCTGGTACTTTGCTTGGTGCCTTGCACATAATACTTTTTTCTGTAACTTTTTATTTTAAAATTTTAAGCATTACACAAGTAGATAGTACAGTGGACTCCTAGGTGCTCCTCACTCCAGTTACAAAATCTGCTCATCTTCCTCTGTCCTCTCTCCACTAGCCCCCCACCATGTAACATTTTTTACCGTTGCTTTTGCACTGATCTCCTGGAGACCACGCACAATATGCAGATTGTCATAATCCATGTTGCCATTATTATTAAGTCACAGATTGTATTTGTCATCCTTATTTTCACCTCTTATTATTCAAATACTTCACTTGACATGCGGTCCTGTTGGCATTAAGGTCTACTTAACGCCCTCTGTAAACTTTCATGAGCTGTTTATCTAACCTGTTTGACAGACACTTTATGTAAATGAGACTTAACTTTTGTGCTGATTTTTGCAAGTTCCCCCAAACTGGTTTTTCAGGTGTTCTTGGTGTATTTCATGTCATCCTGTCTGTTTTAGAGGTGCCGTTTCTGTACTTATCCTCAGCATGTGCTGCCCCTGCATTAGGGCACATGTGTGTCCAGGGACACGGGCAACGGCTGCAGGTTTCCCTGAGCACACGCTTTCCTCCTGAGCCTCTTGTCGGATTGTTCTGTAATGTGTTTTCCTTGAGGGAAGATAACTCCTCCTCCTCCTCATTTCACTTTGTTCTTGAGGTGTACACTGAAGTGACCACAGGGAGCAGTTGGCGTGCTCTGCCTCCCACCTGTAGTGTCATGGAGCAAAGAGGGACAGAGTGAGCCACCTTTGTGGCCGGTGGGTGTGCAGAGTTAATCTCCATGTTATCAGTCAGCCTACAGAGGTCACATCTTCTAGGAAAGAGGCCTTAGATCTGCTGTAGAGCACCAAGTCTTGTGCAAGAAATGGAGTGTTCCAGGATTCCTGATGTTAAGTAGCACCTGACCGGTGTGTAGTTAACAACTGAGCTAAAGAAAGAAAATCTTGAGTGAATTGCCCTGAAGAGGGATCAGTCGCCGTGTGAAGAGCCAAGCTCCCTTCACCCTAAAAGTGTGGAATTCACAGGTAGTAAAGTAACTTAGAAAGTCACAGTGGTTTTTTCTAAAAATTGTTCCCGCACTGGCCCCTCTTAGTAACTGAGGTTGAGTGCAGAGATTGAAGGTTGTTTTTTTTTAATCCTCACCCAAGGATATTTTTCTATTTATCTTCAGATAGAGCGGGAGGGAGGGAGAGGGAGAGAGAAACATCAATGTGAGAGAGAGAGACACATTGACTGGCTGCCTCCTGCACCAGAGATGAACCACAACTGAGGTACGTGCCCTGGACCAGAATTTAACAGCGACTCATTAGTCCACGGGCCAATGCTCTAACCGCTGAGCCAAACCGGCCAGGGCAAGTGTAGAGATTTAAAACACTTATTCTTCCTGCATGAGAAAGGTGTAAAGGAATACAGACGGCCCTTGGGCATGATTTTTCAACTTCGTGATGGTGCAAAAGCAGTACATTCGATAGACACCATGCTTTGAGTTCTGATCTTTTCCTGGGCTGGTGCTGTGTGTACGGTAGGTGCTCTGATTCTAGACAGCGGCAGCTCCTGGTCAGCTACGCTCGAGAAGGTGAGCAACCCAGACTCTGAAATGTAGCGTTGAGTGCTTTTCTGACTTGTGAGTCAAAGACCATCTGTGATATTTGGGGAGGTAATACCCTCAGGTTGTTCAGGGAAGAGGCACTAGCCCTGGATGCAGGATGGTCACCCCTGTTGTCACAGCTGGGGTGCATCCCTTCTGAGTGTGGTCAGGTGGGGAGGGTCATGGGAGAGAAGGGTACTAGAGAAGTCAAGAGTAAAAAGTTTGCACCTTCTCCTCCTGTGGTCCCAGACACAGAAAGTTAGTGTGCCTGAGAGAGCAGGAGATGAGAAGCCCCAACCTCTGCGAGTGGGTGTGGGAGACCGTGCTGAAGCCGTCTGAGCGCTGGGGTCTGGTGGGAGTTCGGGTACAAGTCTAGCAGTAGCCACGATTCACCTCCTGAAATACGAATTCAGAACCTGTGACTGGGGTTTAAATATAGTGTGGTCTTTGGTCTACAGCTAGTGCCTCTAAAAAGTTTGCTGGCGTTTATTGGATGTTGCATGATGCCAAAATGTAGAAAAACAAAACTTGTTGCTGGAAAAAAGGCTAAACCTAAAAACATAATCCAAGTCAACAAGTAATCTTACTTTAAGCCCAAGGGAATGTTTGAAATGAAAGTACTGTCGGGAAATAGTGTTTAGGCTGAAGGAGATTGTATTTTTTGTTGAATGACTTCCTTGGCCGTAACTCATCGCTGGGACGTGCACATGACACTCTGAGGGCGTGTGCCCGTGTGGAGCTGAAGCACAGCTCGTGTCCGGTGTCTTCAGGGCCCTTCCCTTTCAGGAAAAATACATGTGTGGTGATAGTTGACCACTAATATGACCTCTGGAAAAACCCACAATGTAGTTTGTGGTTTATCTTCAGGAAAATAAAGGAAGTAAAATAAGGAACTGGCTAAAGTTTCATTTGCATAGTACTTCTCAAAGTGTCCGTTAGGCCCTTTCCAATAAGTTAATTACTATATTTTCACAATTCCAAAGATTTGCAGAGAAAAAAACTACAATTCTACTTGGTATAAGAAGTTGCCTCAGTCATGTATCGGCTCCAGGGATGGTATTTCATAGTAACTTAGGTGGTTCCCATGCCCTGGGAATGGCTACGTTTGCTCAGTCAGTTGTGCAGAAGAGGGAGTACTGATTGGGTCCCACTAGATGTGTGGGGGGAAGGAAGTGAAGATGAAAGGAGGTGCAGATTGTAGTCTTTTCCAGAGAAAGAAATGAAGGTGGGGAGCTCTGCGTCCTCGGTCCTGGCAGGAGCCAGCGCTCCAGAGAGGAATTCTGCACAGTGTGCGTGTCTGGGGCAGCCAGGGCATGAATGCAGCGCTCCCCGTGGAGACTTGGGTCAGCTGACGCTCTGAGACTCGCGCGGTTTCCTGACTGCACACCTGTGACTGTCCTGTGACCTGGCGTCTCTGTTGTTTATCTCCCTTTCTAGATATGGAAGAGAGCAGCAGTGTCACCATGTTGGTGCCAGATATTGGGGAACAGGAAGCTATATTGACAGCCGAAACTGTCATCAGCTCTTCACTGGAAATCGATGAACAAAGTACAGCTAAGACAGATCCATTAATCCATGTTATCCAGAAGTTAAGCAAGATAGTGGAACATGAAAAGTCACAAAAATGTCTTTTAATTGGGAAGAAACGCTCACGTTCAAGTGCTGGAACTCGCTCCCCTGAAACCCAGGAGCCCTGTGAGATTCCAGCTAAAGCAGCCCAGCCGCCTGCTGCTGGCATTGGAAGGGCCGAGCTGCCGCAGATGCCTTCCAGCCCTGACTCTCAAACCCAGAGCGATGGGAAGGCTATGTCCTACCAGTGCAGCCTGTGCAAGTTCCTGTCGTCATCTTTTTCTGTGCTAAGAGACCACATCAAACAGCACGGCCAGCAGAACGAAGTGATCCTGATGTGCTCAGAGTGCCATGTGACGTCCAAAAGCCAAGAGGAGTTTGAAGCGCACGTGGTAAATGACCATGAAAATGATGCCAACAGCCACATTCAACCCAAAGCCCAACAGTGCATAAGCCCCTCTAGCTCCACATGTCCAAGACCCATAGAAAGGAAGAATGAAGCCACCCCTGACCTCCCTGTTAGTGCGAGCAGTCCACAGTCGAACGCCATCCCCAGCGCATCCGAGGCAGACATAGGGAGGAGGAAGTGGTATGCCTACGAACAGTACGGCGTGTACCGGTGCTTGTTTTGTAGCTACACGTGTGGGCAGCAGAGGATGTTGAAGACACATGCTTGGAAGCATGCTGGGGAGGTGGACTGCTCCTACCCAGTATTTGAGAATGAGAGTGAGCCCCTGGGCCTGCTGGGCTCCTCAGTGGCTGCTGCTCCCAGTGGGGTGGATGCCGTGGTCATCGCCATTGGAGAGAATGCACTGAGCATCCACAACGGGCCGGCGGTGCAGGTGCAGATCTGCAGCTCAGAGCCACTGTCCTTTGCCTCTGCTTTAGAGCAGGGTGCGGAGAGGGCCGCTGGTCTCGGTCCATCGGTGACCCTCAGCCCTCAGGAGGAGGACGTGCTTGAGGTGATTTCCGATGCTGAGGAGAGTCTGATGGCCGACAGCCTTCTTTCATCAGCACAGAAGATCATCAGCAGCAGCCCCAATAAAAAAGGTCACGTTAACGTGATCGTGGAGCGTTTGCCAAGTGCTGAAGAAACTGTGGCACAGAAACCTTTCCTCGTGAACGCTGAGGTCGAAGAGGGGAGCAGCCTGAGCCCGACACAAGCCCGGACGGGGTGTGAAGGGAGAGGCGAAGGGTATCGTGCTGATCAGTGTACTGTTGGTATCGGGGGGCTGATCATAGGCTGGAGCAGCACAGGGAAGAAGGAGAGTGAGCTAACCCACCAGGGACTGGCCCCTGACGAAAACGCCCCCCCAGGCCGGAGGAGGACAAATTCCGAGTCTCTGAGGCTACACTCACTGGCGGCAGAAGCCCTGGTCACAATGCCGATCCGAGCTGCCGAGCTCACCAAGGCCAGCCTCGGGCACTACGGGAACGGGAACCGGAACCTCTTAGACCCAGATACTGGACAGAGGCAGGTGGATAGCACACTGGCAGCATATTCTAAAATGATGTCACCACTTAAAAACTCTGCAAATGGATTAACTAGTTTTAACCAAAGCAGCTGCCCCTTGGTGGCCCTCCCCGAGGGCAGGCAGGAGCTGTCAGACGGGCAGGTGAAGACGGGCATCAGTGTGTCCTTGCTCACTGTCATCGAGAAGCTGAGGGAACGGACGGACCAAAACACTTCCGATGAGGACATCCTGAAGGAGCTGCAGGACAACGCGCAGTGCCAGCCCAGCGGCGAGGCGGGCCTGTCGGGCGGCAGTGTGGTAGAGTACATCCCGAACGCCGAGCGGCCCTACCGCTGCCGCCTCTGCCACTACGCGAGTGGGAACAAGGGCTACATCAAGCAGCACCTGCGGGTCCATCGGCAGAGGCAGCCCTACCAGTGTCCCATCTGTGAGCACGTGGCCAGCAGCAGCAAGGAGCTGGAGAGCCACATGATCCACCATTGCAAGGCCCGGCTGTACCAGTGCAAGCGCTGCACGGAGGCCTTCCACTACAAGGTGCGCATAGCCCCTCCCCGGGGAGGCTCGGCAGGTTCCAGCTGCCCTGCGTGGGGTAGATCAGACGGGCCCAGAAAGGTCTGGTAGTTAGTTGGCCAGAGGATCCCAGCTAATTAACATCATTGTTTGGACGGAGATCTGGGTCATCGGGACTTCTGGGGCACCTGCCTGCCACCTCCCTGACAGCCTCTGTCCTTGCTTTAGTGTGTCTTCAGAACATGTGAATTTCACAGCACAAGGGCATGTGCAGTGGAGGGCAGCACACACGCACACGCGTGCACAGATGTGGCCCCACATCAACAGTGCAGAAAGGAACAGTTTGTTGGGGTGTTTTTGCTCTGGCCAGTGTGGGTCAGTGGTTAGAACATTGGCCCATGCTCTGAAGGGTCTCGGGTTTGATTCCCGCTCAAGGGCACGTACTTGGGTTGCAGGTTCAATTCCTGGCCCAATTGATGTGATGGAGGCACATTGATGCCCCCCCCCCCCTTCAAATCAATGGGAAAAATACCCTCGGGTGAGGATTAACCAAAGTCAATAAATAAGATTCATCTCCACCCAGACTGCCCTTCTGAAATTTGAAATGATCCCAGGCCACCGAAGGAGGAGGGTGTTCAGATGGGTGTCAGGCACATTCCTTTGGTGACTGTTCGCGTGACTCCTTGGGTACAGCGGGAGGAAGGGGTGTCCTGAAGGAGCCCAGCAGTGACTGGTGGGATCATTTCTGTGGAATTGCTGAGCTCCGTGAGCCCTCTGCCCACTCCTCCCCTGAGCCTGTGCGTGGTGGTGAGCGTGCACATGCCACGCCAGGACCCGGACCGTGGCACCTCCTCCTGAGATCCTGGAAGGAACCGCCTTTCTGATTATCCCCCTGGGGTGTTTCTGTGAGCTGTCCAGTGTGTCAGGTGATCTTTTAGCACATTTGCTGTTGAAATACTGGTGTTCTAGGTTGCAGGCCATGAGAGCAGCTACTCCCTCCACAGCACCCGGTCTTGCGCGTGAAACTGCTGTTAATTTCTCTCAATTTTTAGAGTCAGCTGAGGAACCATGAGCGAGAGCAACACAGTCTTCCAGATTCCTTGTCAGTAGCGGCTTCTGCTGAGCCGAGGATTCCCAAGGACATAGCGGAGGTGAAGTGTGCCCAGGAAGGTACGTGTGCATTCCTTATGCAGGCTGCACTGACTCACAGACCAAGGAAAAAGCACCCTGAGTTGTCTGTCATGTGGGTCATTTTCAGGACTAAAGCTGCGTCTTTCCTCTGTTCTGTGCTGTGGATGTCAGCAGCTCTGGGCTCTGTTCCTGAAAGCTCCGAGTACTAAGTGAAGTACTCTAGCAAGTGCTCGGCTTCACCTTGTAGGCAGATATGACATTGGCATTTCTGCTGTCCTGTAAGAGCCAAGGGCCATATAAACCCTTAGGTGACATGCAAGCATGCCAGGGAAGCCACAGTGTAGAGACAGCCTGTCCCCGTCCCCCGAGTCCCAGCTGATCCATCAAAAACAGCTCACAGATGGCAAGCCCCCACTTCAGACTCTTAACTGAGGCCCCTGCTGTGATCTTATTGTAACAAATTCGACTGCCAGGTATCATCTGCACTGGTTTTTTCTGTTGTTGTTGTTTTTTTTGAAACATCTTTTTATGTACAAGTTATGTACCAGTCAGCCAAGTTACAGCTAATAGGAATATTAACAACCAAAAGATTTCATTGGAGCTCCATGAAAAGGCGGTTGAATTAGGGGTAACGCAGGCTGAGCCGAGCTTCCCTACACCCGCTCACTTAAATTGATCAACTTTAGTGTCTCCAGTGTGTGCATAGTGTTTATGGGAAATAAAACATCGGGTGACTTTCCTTTTTAGATTTCCTAAGAATTAAAGTTAGAAACAACTGCAGAGTAAAATGTTTTACTGTAATGTTCGCTAAATGATACCCCAGAATGCATAACCAACTCTAGAATGTTTCTGAAAGAACTGCTGTGACACCACTGTAACACCAGAATCCCTTGTAGAGCAGATGTCATCCGCGCCCACGTCTCCCAGACAAAAGGAGTTTATGACAGAGCATCTGCCTCTGCGGGAGACACTGAGCTGAAACTTTCCTCCGCCCAGAACAGCTCCGAGTGCTCCTCTCACTGCAGTTCCTTAGGCTGCACAGCCCTGTAGAGGAGGCCCTGAGATGTGGGACATTCTGGGACCGTGAGTCCCTGACGACAGGACGCAGTCGGTCCTCGGCAGCACCTGCGGTGAGCGCAGGGCTGGGATACGTCCTCTCAGCACCGTCCCCGAGGCAGTGATCTGACACTGCCTGAATGGGCTGTGAGCAAATGAAAACTCACAATCTTAATAAAAAGATTAAGATGTGGGCTCAGAATCCAAGTTCAGTATTTTATAGTGAGCTCCACAACATTAGTGTCTCCACCATGTTCCAAGTGGCAGCCACTGGGTTTGAGGGTGGAGCTTCCTCGCCCGGTCCCCTAGCTCGTCTGTCATCAGGGAGGAACAGTCCCGGTGGCAGGCGACCTCTACTCTCTCCATTCACAGTTAGAGCTTTCAAAGTCTGGTCCTCAAGCCAAAGAACAAGTTCTTCGCTCACAGAGAAGGGGAAAATTAGTCATTCGCGTTCACTAAACTTTAACTGTTTATAATCTCATTAAAGAAGAGGGAAGGCCTGTGCCCTGTTGGTCCCAGTCTGCCATGTTTTCTGCTCAGAGGCACAGGGGCATGGTACTCGGGCCATGCGCTCTGCCCAAGGCAGGAGCACCATCCTGAGCTGGATCTGGTCTCAGTGCTGGGAGCCCAGTGACCCAGACGGTGCCCAGCAGGGCCGCAGTGAGCACCTCCGTGTGCCCTTGTGAGAGCTGAGTGACCGTTCCTCACTGCGGACCTGCACTCCACCAGCCCTGCGGAGCCGCTGAGCACAACAGGCAGGTCCCTGCCCAAACGAGCCCACGGCCAGCGACATGCCGGAGACCTCACACGGAGGTCAGGGAACTGCCCCTGAGGTGGGGAGCAGTGCCCTCAAGTGCACCCAGAATGCACTCTGGGGCGCTCCGTAGTCGAGAAAACCAAGTCCCAGAGGGAAATGATTTGCCATGTCACGTGGTGCCGAGTGGCAGCAGGTCCTTGGTTGAACCAGCGCTTCCCTCTCGGAGCAGCCACCTGGGCAGCTCAGCCCCCGCCCCGCAGGTGGTTCCCGCGTTCCTCGGCTCACGCGCTGCGGTGCTGCCCACGCGGCCAGGCCCCAGCATCCACGCTCCTTTGTTAGCTGTTTGGAACAGTGCCGCTATAATCAAGTCCAGATTTTCAACCTACCAATTAAGAGTGATTCTTTAGATTATAATCATGATTAGTGTGTATATTAATGTGATAGATTTATACCGGGAAATCAGAACATTGTGTTCTGCCTGGCAACAGTAGTTACTAGCAAAAGAAAATTTCCATTTTAGAAAACTTAAATTTAACTTAAGGATTTTCTTTATTTTGTTAAAATTTCAGTGTGGGTTTGCTTTTGCACCTGCACTTCACCTCCGTGCGCCATGGCGTGCTGTCCCTAGGCTTCCTCCTGCTCTGCCCTTCCATGTCCATGCTTGCTTTGTTCTGCATACAGAGCAGCGGGGCTGTGGGTGGCTGTGGACTTGGTGCTCGCAAAGGTGGGCATCTCCGGGGCTTTTACAGTGCTCAGGTCACGCAGCCGTGTGGTTCAGCCTTTCTGGGTCCAGCTGCCCAGCCCTGTGCAGATGCGAGAGCGCACGTTCACGCTGGGTGTAACCTTTGTCCTCACGTCCTGCCAGGGTGCTGGGTGTCTGCGCAGCGTCCCAGGGCACGGACAGCACACAGCTGCTCTCCCCCGGCTGTATTGACAGCTGACCGTCACAACAGAGGAAGCCCACAGACTGAAAAGGCACTAGGCTGTTTGTATCCATACTTTGTGATACTGGATTCTGGTATTAAATTACAGCTTGTTGGTAAATCAGTGTTTCCTTTAAGGTAATGTATTTAAGATCGATTAGACTAACACCTTTCACGTGAACTGCGGCTCTCTGGTTAATTCAGCTGCTGGCGGTCATCAGGGCAGCTGGCATCAGGTTCATTGTATTAGAATCTTGTGCAAACCAGTGTCTCTGTCTACAGCTCAGGTGATGTTCAGTTTACATCTGCTGACAGTCCAGGTATAGGAGAGCCTGTGAAGCCACCTTCAGATGTGTTACTTGAGCAGAGAGAGCCTTGATTGAGACGTCAGTGCTGTGTTGTGCAAACATTCGTTTGCGGTGGGATGTAAGTGCTGCCATTGGAGTCTAATGAAAGCGTATCACTGAAACTCTGCAATGCCTTGTCTAGAGAGTAGGTCTTCAGTCCAGAAACAGTACAGATGCGACGTGTGTGACTACACGAGCACAACGTACGTCGGTGTCAGAAACCACAGGCGGACCCACAACTCGGACAAGCCGTACCGGTAAGTGTGACAATCATAGATTCGGATGCCCGTCTTAAAACACTTTATAACGAAGAAAAAAGTAGAAGTTATGAAAAATTCACACACTTGTTTGAATATAGGATAAGTGCTAAGAAACTTTCATGTATTGCTTTCATGAGTATTTAATTTGTTAAAGAATATGAATTTTCGCCCTGGCCAGTTTGGCTCAGCGGTTAGAGCGTTGGCCTGCAGTCCGGAGAGACCCGGGTTCGGTTCCTGCTAAGGGCACGTACCTCGGTTGCAGTTTGTCCCCGGCCCTGGTTGGTCGTGCGGGTGGCAGCCACTCGATGTGTCCCTTCACGTCGATGTTTCTCTCTCTCTCTCCCTTCCTCTCTCTCCCTCCCACTCTATCTGTACAAAAAATGGAAAAATATCCTCTGGTGAGGATTAAAAAAAAAAAAAAAAAAAGAATATGAATTTTGCCCTGACTGGTTTGACTCAGTGGTTAGAGCGTTGGCCCTTGGACCAAAGAGCTGAGGTTTTGATCCTCGGTCAAGGGCATGTACTTGAGTTGCAGGTTCAATCCCCAGCCCTGGTTGGGGTCATGCAGGAAGGAACCAATCGATGAGTCTCTCTCACACCGATGTTTCTCTCTCTCCCTTTCTATCCATTCCTCTCTGCCTCCCTCCCTTCCATGCAGTCTAAAAATCAATGGAAAAGTATCCTCGGGTGAGGACTAACTATATATATATATGTATGTCATATATATGTATATGTATATATATGAGTGTGCGTGCACACACACACATACGAATTTTAAGCTTGAGTCCTGGGCCTGCAGACATTTTGTTTGGATGGACCACGGGAAGATGCCTGCCTATCGGTTTCATACATTGTAGCTGTTTCGGTTATTGGGGCACTGAGTATTCAGTGTTCAGCGGAAGATTCTTAACACTTCAAAGCAGTAAAATTCCCTATGAAAGATTCTGTTAAAATTTTAATTAATATATTATGTGTAGAACAAGGTCACTTAATGTACTTTTGTTACTTGATTTTTCACAAAGGCTAATTCTAATATGTTTTCAGGAAATATCAGCATTCTCAGTTTATGGGTATAGACTGATAAATAGAAATTACTCCTAACTAAAGTTTGCCTCTTGAAAATAAACTGCTTGTATGTAGAGTAAGCTTGTCCAGCTGTCCCAGAGCAACTTGTTCTGCTGGTGGCTGTGCGGATACGGTCCCCACCTGAGCGAGCTGGGCCCCTCGTGACAGATAGCACTGACCCCTGGGTACGGACCCTCTCCCCTGGTGTCACGGGGCATCACTGGATGCAAGGCAGTTACTGTGTGACACCTAAATCAAACCTGGCAGAATATGCCTTAAGATGCATTGTTTCACCCTGCTCTGTGGCTTTCTGCACACATGGTTTCACATGCTAACATGTGCTCAGCTTGCTGACCAGCAGGCTTCATGACCCCCTCAGACAGCGTCTGCTCGCAGGGCCCACAGCCGTTGCTCCCGGAGGGTGAGCGCCTCCTGCTTTGTTTGTGCCGGAGGGAAGGACAGCTCTGTCCAGGGAGCACTCACGGGGTGAGGGCTGGGATCGAGGTAGCGTTCCAAGTTGTTTGTTCTAACTGAACACTGGTTAATAACATCATATAAGTTTCAGGTGTACAACATTATAATTTCATACACGTACACACAGCGCTCACCACCTGAAGTCTACCTTCTGTCCATCACCATAGATTTGGCCTTTCACCCACTCTGCTCTCTCCAGCTCCTCAGCATCGTCACATTGATGCCGAAGTTACTGGGAGGTTCCGTTCAGAATGTTCAAATAGCTGCCCTTGGTCTGGTTCACTGTTGCAGCAGCAGATCTCTGGTCTACATCCCCAGTGCCACGTGCATCCACACAAAACCTGCCCCCAGTCGCCAGGACTGCAGAGTGACCATGTGTCCTTCAGCAGGCGACGGACAGGGAAGTGTTGCTCAGTATGAGAAGAGTTCTCAAGCCACCGAGAGACATGGAGGAACCTGAGATGCACATGCCTACGGGGAAAAGAGTGTATGATTCCAACTTGTGATGTTCTGAAAAGGCCGTAATACGAGACAGTCACAGGGGCAGGGGTGGCAGGAAGGAGGGGTGAACAGGTGAGCACTGAGGATATCCAGGGCAGGAAATTATTCAGCGTGATGCTGTAATGGTGGGTACAGGACAGTGTGCAGTTGTCAAAACACAGAAATTGCACACAGATCGTGAGCTCTCATGTCAGCTACAGCCCACCCCGAGCAAGGCGGTTTGAGCTGCCCCGGACACGGGCATGCAGCTGGGGGTCCACATTTCTATCCCGTTCCCACCCCCGCTCAAGGGTCAGCTGTATAGACTTTGGCTGCCGATGTAGCAGTGTGGGCTGGCCGTGGGGCTGCCCACACTGATGCGGGATGCCACTCGAGGAGCTGAGTGACCCTAACAGTGCCCTGAAGAGTGTGCCTTTTCCTTATCCAGACGACCAAGTGCACCCGTGTGTGAGACCTTCTTATTTGGAGCATCTTTTTTTTTCATCCTCACCCGAGGACATTTTTCCATTTTTTGTTCAGATAGAGTGGGAGGGAGAGAGAGGAAGAGTGAGAGAGAGAGAGAGAAACATCGATGTGAAAGGGACACATCGAGTGGCTGCCACCCGCACGACCAACCAGGGCCGGGGACAAACTGCAACTGAGGTACATGCCCTTAGCGGGAACCGAACCCAGGTCTCTCTGGACCACAGGCCGACACTCTAACCGCTCAGCCTAACCGGACAGTGCTGGAGTAGCTTTATAAAGATTTTTAATGATCTGTTTTATTTATGAAATCAGTGTTGAAACTCTTCAGGACGACTTCCGTTTTCTGTGACATGTTGAAAATTACTTAATTACATTCTGCTTTCTTAAGAAATAGAGTGGTATAGAGTATTGATTTTGTATATTTGTGTGTGGTTAAATAATTTAGAGCATAGATTTAGTATATTACTAGGTTGGGAATCTTTCCAAACACTGTAATAGCTAAAGTAATCTAGGATATTTGTCCTGATTTCTGTACATTCTTCATGATATAAAATCCTCCATGGTTTGTAGCATGTCCTTTCCAGGACACTTTAGCCTCTGAAACCCTTGTGTCTCTTAGACTCAGTGAGATACAATGGCTGACGAGGCTTCCGGAGAAGGAATGCAGTCATGGGCATTAAACAGGCTGTGCCGTGTGGCTCCCCCCTCGCAGGTGCTCTCTGTGCGGGTACGTGTGCAGCCACCCGCCCTCCCTGAAGTCGCACATGTGGAAGCACGCGAGCGACCAGAACTACAACTACGAGCAGGTGAACAAGGCCATCAACGACGCCATCTCCCAGAGCGGCAGGTACGGACCCGCCCCGGCCCTTGTGTGAGCTCCAGGCCTCTTCCAGCCAGCTCATGGTTCGGTGCTTTTCTTTGGCCTTCAGGGTCCTAGGGAAACCCCCTGGGAAGACGCCCTTACCCAGCAGTGAAGAAAGAGCGGATCCTCCCACGGGAAGTTCCGACAGTGCAGTGTCAGCCCCGGAGCCTGTTCCCCAGGCTCCCACCGAGAGCGAGAAACTGAGCCCTGCAGGCCACACCTCGTGTGGCTCAGAGAAGACCCCCAGTGCGGCCCCCCCGGGCATGGAGTACTGTGTCCTGCTCTTCTGCTGCTGCATCTGTGGCTTCGAATCTACCAGCAAAGAAAACCTGTTGGACCACATGAAGGAGCACGAAGGTGAGATCGTCAACATCATCCTGAACAAGGAGCCGCTCTGAGCGTGGGCTAGACGCTCGGGGCTCACCCGACTCTCTCCCCGCTTCACACAGCTCACCAGACACGGGGAGGGGCGATGTATAGAGAGATGACAGGTGTGAGCAAATGTGTAATGTAATGAAAGGAATTCCAGATGGAGAGCAGCGATATTTAAATATTCTGAGTGAGGGGATGTGGGGAGCAAGCACAGATGCGATCCTGTATTGACCCTCTGTTACCTCGTTAGCATTGAGTATATTTATTATTAAAAGCTTATTACAGTGTAGAAATGTAAGCAAAAGTTAAGAAAGGGTTTTCAAGAACTAAAACTGTTATAAAAGTGTCACCGTCTCAAGCAGAGCTTGGTTTTCTTCAAAGTTTTACGGTAGCTCTGAAATGATCGGCCTCCTGTGGGCAGTGGGAGATGCTCTGGGCGGGCTGGGCGGGTGGTCTTCCAAGTGATCTGCCTAACCTTCCCCCAACTGGTAGGAAGTACTCAGATACTCAGTCTCAGATATGTTGCTTTACTCCTTAAAGAAAAAGGAAAAGAGACCTCTAAATCCAAATCTAGACTGTAAACAGACATTTAAGGAGTAAATTACTGTCTTAAATTTACAGGGGACTTCCTGTGGGCACAGGAAGATATAGGTGAACTCACAAGACTCCGCCAGACCTCAGGGTTTGTAAAACTGTGTCTCAGCAGAGAACAGTCGCTTCCCAGAGGTTCTGCTCTTTTTAGGGTTGGAGGGGTCACCACAGGGTCTCTGTAGTTACTTGGTTATCTGATCCTCTTCCGGACCAGACTGAGCTTTTACCTGAAGGAGTCTCTTAAAGCAACAGTCTGCGAGTTTGCATTTGATCATCCGGCCTTGGAAATAGTTTGATCTTAAATAAACACCATTTGGGAGAAGAAGGTTGAAATCCAGAATCCCCTTAAAATGAGGGCTGCTTTGAGATTTTACTTTCCTGGAATTTGCTAACTTAGCTTCGTACTCAGCCTAAGAGGTGCAGCTGAACGTGGCCGAAATACAGGGAAATTCATGTTGTTGATAGAACCTTCAGTGGCAGACAGCATGTGGCGGCCCGCAGGGCCCTCCCCCAGGATGGGAGCCCCTGGGGCAGCGCAGGAGCCCGGCCAGTGCCTGTGGCTTCTCATTGCACACCTCTGTGAGCTCAGTTCCGGAGTGAAGAGGGCGGGGCTCTGTTTGCATCTGTAGTTGGGTCTCTCTTTACACCTTTTTTGTTCAAGTGAACTCTACCCACAAGCCAGAGGCCCACCGCGCAGGCCTGCCTCATGGTGCTCTCTTGAGCCGCTCCCAGGACTGAGGGTCAGGGAAGGGGAGCAGGTTCTCAGTGTGATGCTCCAGACATATTGTAAGGGAGCATTCTCTCCCCAAAGTCCAGGCGCGAATTGAATGATTAGCATCTTTAAGTTACATTAGGAGCTGTTTTAGAGGGGCCAGGCATCTGGACACATGGATTTGTTTCTTTAATTCCATTTTTCGTGATTTTCAAACAAACAGAAGTCATTGTAACTTTGCATCTCTTTAATTTAGGTAGCTATAAGTTATTTATGGAAGTTACTCCATTTCTGGTATGTGGTTCTTACAAAGATAAAATGAACTTATATATAGTAAATTATATTCCCTAAGTCCACTGCATGTGGATTTGTATTCATTTTCTTCTGTTAATCAGAAGAAACAATTTCATTTCAAATTCAAATGAAATATTTTAAATGGTTCCATTGTCATCACATATTGTTACCACTCAGTCCGCTCCTCCATTGCTTGTAGCTATGACTCAGCATTTCTTTACAAAAATCGTATTCTGAACCTTACCAACTTTAGAAGGATATTGTTTTATAAATTTTTCTTGGCTTGAATTTTATGTAATTATTTAGAAAATACTAATAACCAGAAAAATCCCAAAATTTTCAACAGTAAATTTAAATCACCTTTCTTCATTCCCTTAAACCTCTCATTGATCGGCACTTAAATTTCTCATTTGGAATCATGGGTTTAAATTTTCCCTGGCTCATCAAATAAAAACTAACCCAGAAGTTCCAAATCTTTCGATGCTCATCTGGCCTAGAATGTCCTCATAAGCTTGCTGCTGGCCTGTGGGGGACCACGTGCCAAGGGCATTCTGCACCTTCCTATCATCATTTTGTGTCCAGCCTTAAGCATCTCTCCCAAGAACAGCTGAGTGTTTCTAAAAGTAATAAGACTAAGCATGCTTTGGTAACTGAGGAAGAAGTAGGATTAAAATAACCAGCAGGAATTCCCTTTCTAGGAATAACGTTTTCTTTACTGGCACTGACCTCTTGCCAGATGAAGCCTATAATATTTGTTTTCTACTCTGAATGCTTAACAATTCTAAGAGTTGATAGTCAGAATAGTTTTTCAAAGAAACTTCCTGGATAAGGCAAAGGTGGGGAGGGAAGATGGTGCACGGTGATCATTGTAAGTAACACTTCAGGCCCATCGTTTTCTCTTTCTCCAGTAATCAGAACACGGCTGGCTGCACGCGCCGTGCCGGCATTCCCGGTGGCCTCGCGGCAGTGCGGGTAGTGGCCCTGCCGCCGCTGTCCTGGGTCTTCATCTGTCCAGGCAGCTACCGGTGGCCTCGCTCTTCCTTCCGTCTTTCCTCACAAAGCAGGCGGAGGGCACCCAGGTTTACATTGTGTCTCCTGCAATGTGCTAGACTTGACAAAGAAAAGCAGACTCCCTGTCGAGACTCAGTATATTTTCAGTTTTCATAGACACTTATTTAATCTTTTTTTATTGTACAGCAAGGTGCTCTAAGTAATGTTCTATAAAATATATTTAATAGAAACTTGAGTTTGCTATTCAAGGACATGAATACATGTATTTTTTTAAGAAATAAGTATTGTGTAACACTATGGCATTGCTTCTGTAGCCAAAGTCTGAGAACTTCTGGAACACTGACATGTAAAGACTACAGTTAATTCTGACACTGTATCCTATTAAAAATAGGATGATTTGCATTTTGTAAACTTACCGCACAGCAAGCTGCCTGAACGCCTGAAACTCCAGACTGTCCCTGGCGGAGCAGCTCACCTGCTCAGCGTGGGCGAGCGCGGCCGCGCGGCCACTGCCTTTGGAAAGGCTGCACAACGTTAGAGTAATTTATTTTGCTTTATAGGAGTTTGTCACGCATTGAATTTAATATTGTATTTTGGTAATAAACTTTTTGTTAAAAACACTTGCCTCGAGGTTTTATTAACAAAAGGTTATATCCATGCTTACCTTGGAAAAATTAGTTTGATCACTTAGAAAGTTAGGTTTAGATCATGAACTTCCCAAAGGGTTCAGCTGAGGCTGTGATCACCCTCCGGTAGCCCAGTACACTGAAACTACTGTAAACATTCATTCTAACTCTGAAGCCTTTTCCTCCCCACATGGCTCTTGGTTCTGTCCTTCAGGTCACATCCTCACATGCTGTAAGCTCTTGTGCAGACAGATTACAGACGGGCTCTATTGATGACGATTAGCCCCCTTAACCGAAGGGACGCACCTGCCACCCCTTGGCCATTCTGTGGTCTACATCAGATGTTCCTTCACATTAGATCTGTTGCCTTGGGAAGTGACGCAACTGTCATCTGACTGGGTCGTTGGTCTGGTTGTCCATCTGTGCCTGAGTGTCCTGGGCCACCCGTCTTGACATGTCCGAGGCCAAATTTCCCTCACAGAAGCTGAAACTCGTCGTCCTGTGTCCTGAGAGCAACAGCTACATCCTGTGTCTCGAGAACCAAACTCCCCTGCGCACTGAGCTCCAGATTTCGTGTGGAAGTGCCAGCGCAGAACTTCCAGCCCGGAGTCGGGAGCCGCCAGCCACACGTGACAGCGGAAGGATGACTCGTCACTGAGTGCGAGACGGCTCAAGGACTCGGTCGAAAAATGAGCTAGCGCTCAGTTTTTATATTGCAGAAATGACATTTTGGATTAAATAAAAGATTATTAAAATAACTTCACCTATTTTTATTTTTTGACTGGCGACTAGGGCCCAGTTGTGCTGCTATCAGAGACGGTCAAATCTCAGCCCTTGGTCCAACCTGGCTGCCCCGTGTCTGTAAATACAATGGCTGGAGCACAGCCATGCCTTTGACGAATGTCTCGCCTGTGGCTATTTTCGAGGGACGGCAGCAGCTCTGAGAAGTCGTGACAGGTCATATGGCCGCAGGGCCCAAATTATTTACTGCATATTTGATGGTAAATAGTCCGGGAGAAAATTTGCAGACCTCTGAACTGGGGCAATGGTGTGATCTGTGCCTTGAAGCCCCCAGAAAGAAAGCTTTTTCTAGCAGTGTTTGATGACTAAATTATAGTCCTCCCTCTGTAATTCTTATAGTCTTCCTGGTCTACAGACCTCATCAATAATTCATAGCTCACTGCATCATCAGCTCTGCTATTTAGAGCCAAACACAATTTGTTTAAAATAACTTCACAGCACTGGCTGGATTGGCTCAGCGGTTAGAGCGGTCAGCCCAAGGACCGCAGGGTCTCGGGTTGATTCGCAGGTTTGATTCCTGGCCCCAGTCGGGTCGTGTGGGAGGCAGCCAATCGCTGTGTCTCTCTCTCATTGATGTTTCTCTCCCTCCCTTCTGCTCTAAAAAAAGAAAGTCAATGGAAAAATATCCTCAAGTGAGGATTAACCAAAAAAAATTTTTTTAAATAAAATAACTGCACAATTAAATAATAATGCTGTGAACAGGATCATCTTGTTTTCCCCCTGATCTCTGTGCAGCTTCAACAGTATGGTCCCCACCCCCAAAGGTCTAACTGGTGCAAGTGACGTCATAGCCTGGGGCACCATCAGCTTGAATAATCTAGCATATAAAGCAAAGAATCTTCCATGCACCTTTGTATGGTGAATGGCGTGTCTGAGTCAGCCGCCTCCCTGGGTCACGTGGAGGCTGCAGGTGGCTTTGGTGAACGGTTGATGACAGCGTGAGAAAATGTCACAATACTCTCCTTCAGAGATCTCTTCCCAGACAGCGTAGATGTCAAAGGAACATTTTTGGCCCTACACCTTGGAGAAGTCTCTGCTTTCCATTGGTGCCACACGATAAGCTTGTTTAGGTTGCGTGTTTTGGTTTATGTCTCAGAATCCAAGTAGCTACAATGACTGAATATTGGTCCCGATCCAGTTGGCCTCCTGTGCTGGCGGTGTGGGCCTCGATTTTCAGGGGGGTATGTCAATGAATATACTGTGCCAAGTGTCTTCATTCAAACTGCAGGTACTGATAAGATTGTGGCACGTTTGAATTTTTTACCTACTCATTTTTTTCACTAATGCTAATCACTATTTAAGTTGTTTGATTTACAAAAGTATATTATTCTAGCCTGGCTGGTGTCGCTCAGTGGTTGAGCATCAACCCATGCACCAAGAGGTCACTGGTTTGATTCCCGGTCAGGGCACATGCCCAGATTGTGGGCCAAATCCTCAGTGGGGGGCATGCAGGAGGCGTAAGTATGTTATTCTAGATCTTTCTTTGAATTAAGAAGTTTAGTTTTAGGCACCTTGTATAAACCCTTACCATCACATAAGGAAATCATCAGATATTAGTGTCTTTATTTCATAACTCACACCACATTTACACAGTGTGTCAGTGCAGATGGCAAAGGAGCCATCAAATAGCAGTTTGCAAAACTGGATATAAGACGGGCACTTCAGCAGTAATGTGAGGTACTTGGGAACTCTTTTGAGAGGACCTTTGAAGATGGGTTTTATTTACACAGATCAGGAAAGGATGACTTGACCATGAATTCAGACCCAATTAGTTTATCTTTCTGATTGCTCAGTGTTATCCTCTGTTAAAAGGAAAAATAATACTCAAAATTATCCATGCCGTTGCCACTGGCATCAGTACTAATAAAATGTTTTATTAATAAAGTATGCCATCTTAAATGTGTTCACAATGGGAAACTGTGACCTGCAGAGACCCTCAACAGAATAAAAAGTTACTCATTCTCAGGTCTTTTGTTGGGAATGAACAGCATCATTTAAAGGTGGTTCTCATAGCACATCTGCAGATTCTTGTTTTCCTTCTCATCGTGCCACTAATTTTAGTATCCACATTCCAGAAATAATGGGCTGCGTTTTCCTGAAATAGGCACATCCATCACATCTCACTGTTTTGTTTATATCTGCAGTCCTATTTCAGTCCAGTCTTCCCAACCACAAAGGTGTGAGAAACGCGACTCCAGGCTGATGAGAAAAAGCACAGCAGGTCTTGCTTCCCATCTGAAGTTGCATTTATTTATTCATGACGCTCTACTGCTAACCTTCCACAGAAACAGGTGTGAAAGGGGCGCACAGCAGGGGGCCACCAGTGCGTGCCGTGCCGGGTCCTCTCCCCTTTCCCAGCCATTTTGCACATGGAGCACGAGGCCACGGCTGGCGGGCAGTGCCTTTGTGATGACAGTGTGGGAGTCCATGCAGAGCCACCACACGGTTACAGACCAAGGCTCCTCGGACTCTGCTCCTGGCCGGAGCTCAGCGCAGATGTTGACGATGAGGCTTCAGTGCGCTCGCTGTGCAGCAACGTTTAAAACTCACTCTCTGCGAGGGAAGAAAAGTGAGCCTTCCTCACGGAGAAGCAGGGGCCTGTCCCAAGTGAGTCCTGGTAAAACCTAGCCAGTGAGATCAGATTTCCAGTTTCAACAAAAGAAATCTGTTGCCCTGGCCTGGCGTGGCTCAGCAGTAGAGCGTCGGCCTGTGGACCAATGAGTTGTGGGTTCGATTCAGGCCAAGGGCATGTACCTCGGTTGCGGTTCACCCTGGCCTGGTTGGGTCCACGCAGGAGGCAACCAGTCGATGTGTCCCTCTCACATCGATATTTCTCTCTCCCTTTCTCTCCCTCCCATTCTATCTGAAGATAAATAGAACAGTATTCTCTGGTGAAGATTTTAAAAATTAATTGATTAAAAAATCTGTTTTTCCATCAAGTGGGGGGGGGCTTACAACTAGGGAATCTGCATTTCATACCTGATCAGATGTCTTAGGTTGATTTGGACCGTTTGCAAACACTAATATCTATTAATTACTCTGTTCTGCTTGTCATAAGCCATCCCCACGCAACATTTATGAAAGAATTCTTATCATTGCTGTGCTTACAGCTTGTGATTGTCCCTGAGCCTGAACAGTGCACATGCAGCCTTACCCCTCAACACCCATTCTTTTCTCTTGGTGGTAGGGTTTTAGCTGACGCATCACAGCAAGACTAGTCCCCAGTGCACCTCATCGCTGGTGAGGGAGGCTATGCAATCCAATTATGGCTGATGGGATGAGTGCAGTATCTATGAAACTTCTGGCTTGTGCCCTTAACATTAAGGGGTGTTCTAGCCCTTCCCTTCTTTCTCTTTGCTGCTGCTGTTGTGCGAATGTGGTGATGATCCGCCACTGACCTACACTCACAGGTGTGACACCCTGGTGAGAGCTGAGCAGCAAGACACAGACACCTGGGTCTGACATTGGACCTGGACTGGTTCCGTGACTGAGAAGTAAATGCCTTGTTTAAACCCTTGTTTTTTGAGGTATTGTTTCAGCAGCCTGACCTGGATCCAAGTCGATTCTGAATCCTCGACATTATGTCTGGTCTGCCCCTCCCCCACATGTGTATAGTGAAAAGCCATTATTGGGAAACGTGTCTCCAGAATTCAGGCAGGGCTCCAACCACCAAATCTTAATATATCAGCATTTCAATCTTTCTTCATTATCACCCACCTTAGAAATTGTTTTTAGACATTTTTTTCATAATTAGTCCCTCCATGAAATTTGAATATCTTAGACATACTGTATATCTGTGCCCTATATGTAAAAATTTAAGATTTTTGCCCAGCCAGTGTGGCTCAGTGGATGGAGCGCCCTCCCATGGACTGAGAGGTCCCAGTTCAGTTCCCAGTCAGAGCACATGCCAGGGGTGCAGGCTCAATCCCCAGAAGGGTGTGTGCAAGAGGCAGCCGATGGATGTTTCTCCCTGGAACCAATGTTCCTATCTATCTCTCCCTCTCTCCAAAATCAATAAAAACTTTTTTTTTAAATAAGATTTCTTTCAACCCCAAAGCCAGTTTTCCACTGGGAGTAGGGGAAGACTGCTCTTACATAAATAACTGCTTGGTGACCGTCGTGTGTTCATTTCCTGGTTTCTTGACAGAAAATGTAAAAGGTCATCAAGAGACTGATTAACACCCTCAGAGTTGACTGTGGGCCTCACAGAACCCACCCACTAGTGTGCACACAGCTGGTGGAGTCGAGTCCTAGCAGCTTCCTGGCCTGGAGCGTTTGGATCAGAGTGCTTATGTACAGAGTCCTGCAGGCCGATTATCAACACCCCCGGGTGGCTCCAGAAGCTTTGGGGTTGGTGCAAACCCAGCCCAGGGTTAGATTAGCCATAATTTAAGGCATAAAACATTTGAATTTGAGAGTGTTAGAAACCCCTGTGTGTCTGGCTGGAAGAACCAGACAATCCAAAGCCAGACGATAGGCCTTGGCAGCTGCTGGTAGGAAATACCCACTTCTAGGATTTAGACACCTGTGAAGCATGTTTTTCCAAATGACATCAGAACAGTCTAAAGGAACCGGTCGGAAAGACCAGCCAAGGTCACCGGTTTGTGGACGAGAACAGCCAACACCCGGGAATCATCACCTTTGGCAAAAAGCTTACATGATAAAGTATCATGTTTTAACTGAATAACATGACTATTTGTGTCCTCACTCCAGAATATACATCTGTTATTCTAACCATGGAAAGGAAAAGGGTATCTATGGGAACCACCGATAGAGGTAAGAATACCAGATGTTAGCGAGGAAAATGAAACAAAATAGGACATGTTTAAGTACTCTGTTAACTTTACTTAATGAAATCATTGGATAATCGAGCACCTATGCTAATCGGCCTAGAAATGCCACTGCTCTACTCCAAATCTGGTTAGTAACAAAGTTGACCAAGGGAAGAGAAAAAGCAAGATGTTTCATAATGCCTTTTAAGAACCTTACAGGAGCCCTGGCCGGTTTGGCTCAGCGGTTAGAGCGTCGGCCTGCGGTACAGAGAGACCCGGGTTCGGTTCCCGCTAAGGGCACGTGCCTCGGTTGCAGTTTGTCCCCGGCCCTGGTTGGTCCTGCGGGTGGCAGCCACTCGATGTGTCCCTTCACGTCGATGTTTCTCTCTCTCTCTCCCTCCCACTCTATCTGAACAAAAAATGGAAAAATGTCCTCGGGTGAGGAACCTTACAGGAAATGTACTGACAAACATTTCAAAGGATGGGAGGCGGCCTCCAGTGTAATGTCAACCCCCGGCAGGTCTGGACGGGTCCCCCAGACCAAGCGCGCGGCCGGCTGGGGACCGGGCCACAGGGCACCGTCTGTGGTCTCCAGGGCGGGTCCTGCAGAACACGCCGGTCTTTGCACCGCGTTTGCTCCGAATGCGTGCACGGGTGTGTGCGCACAAGCGCATGTACACGCGGCGAGGGCGTAAGCTGTTCAATAAAGCACGAGGCCAAAGACCCGCGACGCGCCGGCCCTCGTGGGGAAGGCGGTGGAACGAAAACCGAGGCAGAACCGCTGGGAACCCGCGGCTGGGCCCGGCCGGGCAGTGCTTCCGCCGGCTCCCGGGCCCTCGCAGGGTCCACACGGGGCCGCCGAGCCCGCGGGGCGGTGAAGACACGGCAGGTGCGCGGCGTGGAGCCCGCGCTCAGAGGTCGGCGCTCCGGGGTGGCGGCGGGAACCGGGGACCGAGACGAGGGAGGAGAAAACGGCCCCAACACCGGCGGCCGGCGAGCCTTCCAGGTAGCTGGGCGGTAACCGAGCCCGGGGAGCACACCAGGCCCCCCACGCCCGGCCGAGCCTTCCGCACCCCCAGCAAGAGGTGGGCGACGCGGGCAGCAGGAACGGAGCCGCGCTCACTGCCGCCGCCATGGTGGCCGGAAGTGCGCTGCTCTCTTTCCGGCCGGCGCCTAACGGAGGGCGACCGGAAGTGCGCCGCTCTTTTCCGCCGGCGCCTCAGCGGCGGGGCGGGGCCGCGCTGACGGACGGCTCCCGGAACCTATGGGCGCGGCCGCAGCGGCCCGGCCTTCCCGGCGCGCCCCTTCCCGGGCCGCTGACGCCCGGGCCCATTTCCGGGGCGGCGCGCGACGCTCTGGGCTCCCGGTCGTCGGCGTCTCCCGGCCCCGTCCGCCGCGGCGCGAGGACGCTGAGCCAGGTCGGTGCTCCGCCCCTGCGCGCCGAGCCTGCCGGGCGCTGCCGTGGGCGGGACGCTCGCGCGGCTGGCACGGTGCCGGCCTAGCGGGGTCAGGTGTTCCGCCGCCGTGGCGCACGGAGGGCGGCCTCTGCGCCCGCGGGGTCCCGCTGCTCCGAGCCGCTGCCGGAGCTCGTCCGCGTGCCTCGGGGTCGCGTGGTTCTGCGTGAGCGAGCGAATGAATGAAGGAGCGGGCGAGGGTGGGCGCCTGAAGGGACGAGTGGACGGACGGACGAAGGAGGGACGGACGAAGGAAGGACGAGTGGACGGACGGACGAAGGGACGAGTGGACGGACGGGCGAAGGAAGGACGAGTGGACGGACGGACGAAGGAAGGACGAGTGGACGGACGGACGAAGGGACGAGTGGACGGACGGACGAAGGAAGGACGAATGGACGGACAGACGAAGGATGGACGGACGAAGGGACGAGTGGACGGACGGACGGACGGACGAAGGATGGACGGACGAAGGGACGAGTGGACGGACGGACGAAGGAGGGACGAGTGGACGAAGGGACGAGTGGATGGACGAAGGAAGGGATGAGTGGATGGATGGACGAGTGGACAGACGGATGGACGAAGGAAGGGACGAGTGGACGGACGAAGGATGGACGGACGAAGGAACGAGTGGATGGACGGACGAACGAAGCATGGACGAGTGGACGGACGGACGAAGGAAGGGACGAGTGGATGGACGAAGGATGGACGGACGAAGGGACGAGTGGATGGACAAAGGAAGGGACGAGTGGACGGATGGACGAAGGATGGACGAGTGGACGGATGGACGAAGGGACGAGTGGATGGACGAAGGAAGGGATGAGTGGATGGATGGAATAGAGTGGGGTCGATTCTTTCCTATGGAGCAAGTTGCCTTCAGGAGTTCTAACCCACCCAGAGCACCACAGCAGCACTGCTCACACTGGACAGATAATTAGGAGAGCGCCACCCACATCCTGAGGGTGGAGGCCCGTATTTGGGACCGGGGTCCAATGGACACCGCTCGGGGCGTGGGGAGCGCAGCATTGAAATTGAACCAGACACGATCCGTGGTTCAGCTCTTCACCAGCAGGCTGTCAACAAGCCTGCTCCTGGACACCTCTGGTGGCATGCAGCTGTGGAGGAATGCACGACACAGGTGATGCTGCACCGTGGCACATCCTCAGGAAGGGACAAGGGCAGCAGCTGCTGGGGTCTCGGCGGTGCTCCTGCCTCCTGCCAGGGTGCTTCACGAACACGGCATCCATAGGTTCTTGTGTTGGGTTCAGAGGAGCTTTGCTGTCTGGTGGAGATGTGAAGGGAAGACGGGAAAGCTGCTGAGGGGGTTGCCTAAGGCCAGGGCACACGGCGGGATGGTGCTGGCACGTGGGTGGCCATTCACTTTGTGCTGTCTCAGGTGCTCTCTGCAGGAGCAGCGGGAAGAACCATGCATGGGGGCCTTTGACACCATGATGTCCATCAGGCAAAGAAAAGGAGTCAGAACCACAGAAGTGTCTGAGGACGGTACAGCCCAGCAGGAGAATGTGACGCTGGAAAATAAACCATCATCCAGTAGGTGACAGATTAAAGCGGCATTTGGGATCGCTTTCATTTCTGAGTGCTACTGTCACTCCCACAGGATAAAAACTCAGTGCACCTTAACAGTCGAGGAAACTTGTTCTGACATCCTGACATTTCACTTCCATGAATAATTTGGTTGCAATTTGATAATATGGTTTTGCAGTTCTGATTGTACGAGTGATGGCACAGCTCGAATTGGAGCCCGTGATTCTCGCTGACCCTCAGTAGCTGGTGTTTAGGCCGGTTGGATCCTCCGGCTTGCTGGAGTAATACTCCCCTAATCTGGTCTCTGCTGTCCACATCAGACAGATTAATCTCATTAACATTGAAACATGAATCAAACATTTTTTATTCTTTCTTTTCGGTCAAATTCCTGGAATTTTCTTCTTTAAGTTTTTTTGGTGGGAAAAGGGGTCACAATTTGTAAGATGTTTATGTAATGGTGGAGACTCGACAAGTCTGTTTTCTGCTTCATCGCATGGCATTAACCACCAACCCCTTCCTCCAGGGGTCAAGATTTTTCAAGTGAGAACAAGAATTCCATGTCCGTCAACCACGTGGGTTCCAAACAGAAGTTACATCGGTTCTTACCAGCCACAGCTAGTAATTTGGGGGAATGGTATTATAAAAAAAAAGTAAGCTGTTTTGAGAAGCCAGGTCATCCAGCTCAGTTATAGCAATTTCAGACAAGAGAATACCTTCTGAAGACCTACGCAATGCAAATTCAAGTTTTGGGGGTTTTTTTTTTAAGTTTTTTTTTCTTTATTAGTTTTAGTGAGAAAGGGAAAGAGAAACATCAATGAGAGAGAACATTGATTGGCCGCCTCCTGCATGGGCTCCACTGGGGATCGGGCCCACAACCTGGGCATGTGCCCTGACCAGGAATCGAACTGGCAAACTCTTGGTGCAGGGTCGACGCTCAACCACTGAGCCACCTTGGCCAGGCTCAAGTTTGGTTTTGTTGTTGTTGTTATTTTTATTTACTTATTTTTATTTTAGAGAGAGAGGGAGATAGAAATAGAAACATCTATGAGAGAGAACATCAACTGGCCTCCTCCTTCATGCCCCCAGTGGTGATCGGGCCCACCACCTGGGCATATGCTCTGACTGGGAATCGAACCAGCGACCTCTTGGTGCATGGGTTGATGCTCAACCACTGAGCCACACCAACGGGGCTCAAGTTTATTTTTTTTACATTAAAACAAGTTTGAGGATGGTTTGTTTCACCAAAGCAATGTTTGTTTATGTTAGAATAAAACCTGAAAAGTAAACAAAAAAGGAAAGTAATACTCCCGCCTACCCATGTGTTCTGAGACTCCAACCCAGGACACTACACCTCATTGTCGAAACGTTCTCCACACATGTGTGCCTACACGTACTCCTGCGTGGTTTTACAAAATCAGTATCCTTCGCCCTGGCCGGTTTGGCTCAGCGGTTAGAGCGTTGGCCTGCGGTCCCTAGAGACCCGGGTTCGGTTCCCACTAAGGGCACGTACTTCGGTTGCAGTTTGTCCCCGGCCCTGGTTGGTCGTGCGGGTGGCAGCCACTCGATGTGTTCCTTCACGTCGATGTTTTTCTCTCTCTCTCTCTCCCTTCCTCTCTCTCCCTCCCGCTCTATCTGTACAAAAAATGGAAAAATATCCTCGGGTGAAGATAAAAAAAACAAAACAAAATCAGTATCCTTCATGCTGCATCTCTTTTAGTATGTTCTGGTCATGTCATAAGTCAGTCAACGGTTTAAAAATACTGCCAGTGTACAGTCATCGTGTGGCTATTGCATGCCTTGTTTTACCAATTCCATGTTGAACACTTAGACATTTTTCAGCCTTTCTCCTATACCAGCAGAACTGTGATAAATATCCTTGTAGCCAGATATTGGTTTAGAACTTTAATTATTTGAGAGGTGTATGCCTGGATTCAGTTACTGGTCAAATGGTAACTGGATCACAAATTGTAAGTAGATGGTTTATCTCCTGGACATGTAACCCATTATTTCTCCATTTGGCAAACTTTGTAGTAACACTGTGGTCATTTAACTGAGCCAAAAACAGGCTGTGGACAGAGGTGGGTAAGACTGGACTTCTCCAGAAGCCCACATTCTGCTCGGTGGGCAGTTAGATACAGCGGGGGAGCTGCAGCAAGAGCGTGGGACAGGTCTGCAGAATTGCAGAAGGAGCCTGGCTGTCCGCTGGAGGCAGGTCTGCATCCCCAGGGCAGGCAGCTGGGACGCAGCACATCTGAAGGTCTGCGGTAGGACTGTACAACCCTTTACCGACTCCATGATTGTCTGTCTGATTTTTCCAAAAGGTTGTACCAGCCGAAGATTATGGAAGATTCTGTCATTCACAGTTGGTGGAGCCATAGCCCTTTGCACTGGACTCCTGACTTCTGTCTACCTGGCCACTTTACATGAAAATGACTTATGGTTTTCCAATATTAAGGTATGGGAGTTCTACAAGCCTTGCACCAGTGTGTCCAGTGAGTGACCAACACAGTGCAGTTTCCCCACAAAGAATCCAGTCTCTTAAAAAGTTTGGCTGTGGAGTAAAAAGAGTTTGTGTTCGTTAGTTTAAAATAAGATCAGAATGTTTTCAATCAAGTGGATCTCACAGCTACTCCCGTGAAGCAGCAGGCACTGACCCAGCGCTTTTCAGACCAGATCGTGAAACTGCTGTGGGTACGAGTGACGTTTTCTTCATGAAATCAACTTAACTGTAGGTGTGCATGTACAAGTTGGGTCACAGTATACAAATTGGTCTTCTGTTGGGTAGTGTTAAGAACGAAGAAGAGTCCAGCTGGTGTGGCTCAGTGGTTGAGCGTCGACCCTGCACCAGGAGGTCACCAGTTCGATTCCTGGTCAGGACACATGCCCAGGTTATGGGCCCGATCCCCAGTGGGGGACATGCAGGAGGCGGCCAGTCGATGTTCTCTCTCATCGCTGTTTCTATCTCTCTCTCCCTTTCCCTTTCTCTCTCAAATCAATAAAGGGAAAAAAATTTTTAAAAGAAAGAAGAATTTGAAAGGCACTGCTCTGAGCCATGGCGTGTCTGCTGGTGACCGCAGTGTGTCCTCGTCTAGCTGGACATGCACTATGGTTGGGGGCGAGCCAGTCCTTCCCTGGGTTAAGGAGCCATAATTACCATCACACTCTTAGAAGGGTCTGTGATATTTTAACACCAGTTTCCTGTTGTCCCTCTTTTCTCTTTCTCTTTTTAAGCATTTCTAGATGTTCCTTAATTTATCATCGTTTTAAAAACAACTGTCTTATGCAAGGAAACTTACACACTGGCAGTGTTTTTGAACCAAATATCCCCCACCCCTTTTGATCCAAAGTGTCATGATCTTTGACCTAATTTACTTCTAATGATGCTACTTACCAAGATAGGCTTTGCCTTCAGAGGTCAAACGTATTCTCTGTGAGAACACTCCGAAGAATCAACGTGGAGCCTGAAGACAGTCCCCATGGAGCTCCCCAAACTGTTTGAGCTTTGTCCCCTTACTGGGACAACAGAGTCTCTGGCTGATTCAGAGTGTTCCTGGTGCAGCCTGTGCCAGTATGACTTCACACACACTCACACACGGCCACAGTAGCAAGGAGTGACAATTCTTTCCCTCCAGGCAGTTACTGGATTTTCTTATCAAGGAAAAGTTTTGACCCCTGTATCTTTATTTCATTTTATTTGTTTTAATCCTCACTTGAGGATATTTTCCCATTGATCTTCAGATACAGTGGGAGGGAAGGAGAGAGAGAAACATCAAAGTGAGAGAGAGATGTCAAATGGCTGCCTCTCGCATGACCGCAGCCAGGGCCAGGGATCAAACTTCAACTGAGGTACATGCCCTTGGCTGGAATCGAACCCGCAACTCTTCCGTCTGCAGGCCAGCGCTCTAACTGCTGAGCCAAATTGGCCGGCGTCACCTATATCTCTTTAAAATGGAGTGCTTCTAAACAGATTCCCTAGAATTGAGCAGTTTAATGCTTACTTATTAACTTGAGTATTTTGAATAAAGGCTCAAATACCCCCTGTGGGGATACAGCTGAAATCGAGTGCTGGCAACTGAATAGCAAGGAGACATGCTGAAGAGAGCACATCATCTCACCCTGGGTCTGGCTCTCTGATCTGAAGCTCGTATGGGGGCCCTGCCTCAGATCACCCATCATGAAGGGACCTGAGCACCTTGATTGTTCTCTTTACCCTCTCGGCTAAAGGAGTCCTCTGCTTTTACCTGATATTTGCTGAGCACTGTTCTGTGGGTAGCATGGGTTTAAACACTGGGAGCATGGAAGAAATAACAGCCACTGAGTTTGCCAGCAGACTTCCGAGTAGCACAAATGGATGTGGCCAGCGTACCCCAGCACCTGCAGTGTCCAGTAAGCACTGCTCTCGGGGCAGCAACCCCCCCAGAAGACAGCCCTGTATTCAAGCTGTCCCTCTCGAGCAAGACACAGGCCAGTGGGCAGTTATACTCACATGAAACCGCGCTGTGATGGGCTGACTTAGAGTATTGTGGGGGACAGGAGGGCAGACTAACCCCGGTCTAGAAGGTCAGGGGGAGTTGCTAGAGGACACGATGTCACTGACACCTGAAGGATGAGACAGGTTAACCAGGCAAAGTGGAGGAAAGGAGAGGGACACGCACCGGAAATTTGAGAGGCAGATAGCCTCCTGACTTGACTAGCTCCCCACCTTTCTCCACTCAAACCACACTGCCTCCCTGTTCCTCAGGGCGTGGGCTGGTCTGTCTGGCCAGCAGGCCGTTTCCACGTGGGTCGTGGCCTCTCCTCCCCAGGTCTCCGTTCAGTTGTCCCCTCATCAGCAAGGCCTTCCTCGCCCCCTCCCTCCCTGTCCCCACTCTCTGCTGTCCTTGCTGTATTTACTTGTTTGCTCTAGATTATAAATTCCATGAGGCAGAGGTTAGTGTCTGTTGCTCCCTGCTGATCCCCGCAGAGCGTTTGTACTGGATGGTTGGTGGGTGTCTGTGGAACAAAGGAAGGAGTTCTCGGAGGAAGAGACCTGTTGGAGGCACCGGGTCTCGTGGGGAGACTGAGTTAGTGCTTCAGGCGAAAGACTCATCATTCCCTCAGGCTGACACCGGTCTTTCCTTGAAGTAATTTTCTTGTTTTACAAATGCGTTATTCTTATTCAGAAATAAACCCCTTGAAATCAAGGACTGAATTCTTACACCATTTTGTTTCCCCAGCAAATAAGTGTTCAGTGATGAAGAAAGTAATTCTCACTTGGCTGAAAGCACTCAAGCAGTTCTTTTACTTATGCTAACATTTCCGCTCTCACTCTTACTTATTTGACCTCACAGAAGGTGTGTATCTTCCCATCGAATACTCTTGCAAAGATGTTGTCTTGGAACCGGTGGGGCCCGTCTGCAGCGGGGCAGCCACAGCAGGACCAGGACTGGTTGCCTGGGAGTCGCCCGCAGGGGTGCAGTCACTCCACCAGTCGTCGGAGTGCCTCAAAGCTCAGAGCTTGGCAGCCCTCTCACGTCGGCTTCCGTCGTTTCGAGGGCAAGAGTCGCTCATCCCAGCAGATGGGCCTGCATTAACCAGACAGCAAACCGTGTATGTGCCACGAATACGTTTGCTGAGGGCGTTGTTTCCCGGGGCCGGACGTTGGGAACAGCTGTCTTACTGTGAGCTACTGTTTCTTGGTGAGATGATTTGTTAACCTAATTCGGAAACAGATTCACTTACGCGGTTAATCGTCACATGGCTTCCCGCTACCTGCAGCCCAGTTATCTCGGGGGCAGTGTTTATAAAGAACAGTTATTTGCGTGAGATCTTTGAAAGCAAATGGTACGCTTCCTTTGAAATTGGTGTCGCTTGTCTAAAAGGGCTTGTCGCCCTTTGTGTGTTGCCAAAGAGGCAAGTCATTCATTCCAAGCAGTCGTTTATTTTCCTAATGCTTTCCTTTCGGTCTTCGTGCATTACGGTGCACACTCCTGCAGAACGCCCCAGCGGTGCAGCTCCTCAATACAAGTCTTTTGTCTGTCAGTCTGTCATCACCCTCAGAGAGGGCGGCTGGGTCTCAGCACTGCAGATCAAGCAGATTTGCTAGTTCTGCAGGCTTGAGGGACGACTCTGCTGTGCACTGTCCTTGGCCAGCCCGCCAGGCAAAGTATGAGCTGCCGTAAAACTGGAAAAGCGTTTGAGTGGGTGAAGCAGATGTTGTCTTAGCAGGAAGCAGATGCACAACTTGCAGATGTCTGTCTGATAAAGTGCAGCATTTGGTTCCATGCAGCTGGTGCCAAGATCACCGATTCATCATGTCTGAATGCATTTTTACTAATTACGACCCTCTGTTCTTTGCACGTTCTGGGCGTAGTAAGGAGGGGAAGGCACACAGGCTTTCTCCTGTTAGAGCTTCGAGCAGCATCTTTCTTTCCTCGTCTTCACAGAGTCGGTCTTTTATGCTCAGAGCCGTGTTGGGGTGAACCCCCGTGAGCAGGACCGATGCAGCTCTGTAGGTTGGTCTGGGGTGCAGGATTGATGTCAGAATGTTCCATCGACAGCAGCCGTTCTGTGAACACTTTAAGGCAGCTGGAGAGAAGAAAAGGAATGTAATTAAACTTAATGGTTTTTTTTAATGTGCACAGAAGAAAGCTAATGTTGACTCAGTTAACATCAGTTTGCAGCCTCTGTGCTTACTTGGCCAAGTCGGAGCTCGGACGTTCTGGAAAGCGGCAGAACCAGCTCAGCTTGATGCTGTCAAAAGCCAGAGCCGCTGTCCTCAGAGAGGAAGGCGGAGGAAGGCCTGGGGCAGCTGGGGGCCTTCCTGCTAGCGAGGGGCCTCCAAGCCAGAGCAGATGGGAGAGATGAGGAGCTTCGTTGTTTTATGTCGCCCTTTCTACAAAGCAAGTGTGCTGATGAAACTAAACTCCAGAACCTGACTGGGCCTTCGTTTTAATGTTGGTTTTTCCAGAGTAAATGTGTTTCCCATGAAAGGAAGCTCATTATATAAAATTTGCTACACTACCCAGCCACTCATATTTTGGAGAGTTGACAATAATAAAACAATAGTTTGTTTTTCAGGGTCAGTAATTGGATATTGATACTCTTAGATAATTGAGTATTTTTCCAATGCTTTAATTATGAATTGATCTATAATACTTTTTTTAAAGAATAGGAGAGCCCTGGCTGGTTTGTCTCAGCGGTTAGAGCATTGGCCTGTGGACCGAAGGGTTGCAGGTTCGATTCCCAGTCAAGGGCATGTACCTGGGTTGCAGGTTCGATCCCCGGCCCTAGTCAGGGTCATGTGATAGGCAACCAATCAATGTCTCTCTCACACATCGATATTTCTCTCTCCTGCCCTCTCTTCCACTCTATCTGAAAATCAATGGGAAAATATGTTCAGGTGAGGATTAACCAAAAAATAAAAAAGAATAGGAGAAATATTTATAGGGTAGAAGAAATAAATAATTTCCAGGTCTGAAGATAATAGCATGAGTGGTTCCTTTAATGAAACATTTATTACTGTTTTTGTTGTTGTTAACCCTCACCAGAGGATTTTTTTCCATTGATTTTTGTTTCATTGCAGAGAGAGAAAGGAGGGGGGAGGGAGAAACACTGATGCGAGAGAGACACAGCGATTGGTTGCCCCCCACATGACCCCAGTGGGGGCGGGGGATCGAATCTGCAACCCAGATGTGTGCCCTTGACTGTAATCGAACCCTCAACCCTTCGGTCCTTGGGTCAGTGCTCTAACCACTGAGATCCAGCCGGGACTTACCACTGTTTGGGAAGCAGGTAGCAGTGAGGGAAAACGGGTGGTGAGAGGAGCATCCAGGAGAGTCGGGTCTGCAGTGTTTCCCAGCTTGTCTTCCCCGAGCAGTCGTGCTGTGGACGTGGATCCGCCGTGACGGGAAGCAGATAGGGACACATTTCAGACGGCGCTGCAGGCCCTAGGCCTGGCCTTCTGAACGTCAGTGTGAATGAATGGACAATGACAGGTTGTAACCCCTCGCTCACTTACAGTGCTTTACATGTACATGTACAGGGCCTGAGGGTGCTAATTGGATTATTCCAGGAAGTCTGTTCGTCCTCACTACCAGTTGTCTGCATATTTGATGTTAATGCTTTACGTTTTATAAAAGCATCTTACATCCAAATTGACTAGTAGCTATTGTTTTAAATTTTAGTTCTTCTAAAGTCAACTGTTTATGATAAAGAAGTTTACGTTTCTTTTTTTTTATTATTTTTATTTTATTGATTTGTTTTTGTTACAGATGTTTCTCCTTTTTCTCCCATTGACACCCTCCACCCCGTCCCCCCACCCCATCCCCATCTTTGTTGTCTGTGTCCATTGGTCACGCATACATGCATGTAAGTTCTGTGGTTTGTCTCTTCCCAGTTCACATTTCTTGTATCCATTTCCTACATGACCATCTTTCCGCTTGTCAGAGTCAACTCCACATGTGAAAGGCTGCCCCTCTCACTAAGAACACCCTGCACTCCACAGTACAATGGACCTGCTCATCTCAAGCAGTTCTGTTAGCGCCAGGCACGTGCTGATGCAGTCACAGTTCTTTTCATTTGGATGATTTTTTATGCTGTTTCTATTTTGTTTCCCACAGATATTTTGTAAGAATGGTGGTGGGTTTTTTTTAAGTTTTAATTAGTGTGAAATACAAGAAAAACTTTAACTCTGAAACATCAGATAAATGGAACTAGTTTCCATTTTTTAAAATGCCTTGTTATAGAAAATTTTGAACATCCACAAAGTAGAGAATAGTATGATAAACCCCTATAATATACACCCAGCTTCAGCAATTATCAGCCTTCTGTTATTTTTATTTGCCAAGCTTTCTTAAGTTTGTTTTCTTTTTAAGTTGTTGTTCTGTTCCCTGTTTCTATGGTGACAGTAGATACTTAACCAGGTTGTGTAAACCCACAGACCTCCCTTCGTTGCAGGAGGTGGAGCGGGAGATCTCCTTCCGGACGGAGTGTGGGCTGTATTATTCCTACTACAAGCAAATGCTGCAGGCGCCCAGCCTCGTGCACGGTAATTCCGAATGCAGTGTGCGTTCTCCTACTGTGTCAGCCGAAACACTTGCACTCGCGCATGCTAAGTGCTCCACAGAACTTGTGTGACGGGGATCGTTTTTACTTGTTAAATAACAGTCCACGAAAATGTCTTGCTCTAGAAGAAGTTGTGTAATACTTCACGTGTCCCTCCTTTCCTTGCCTCTCAGCTCGGCTCCATCCCAGAGTTAATGTTTGTGGCTTCTTGGTTTTGCAGCTGACTTTTCTCAGTTTCTTGGAAGTGTCTTTGCAGGTGAAAGGGGCATTGTCTAAATGCAGGCATGTTGATAATACACGTGAAAATTGCTGTTGTCCTAGTGCCTCATTCCTTCCTTTATTTTTACCTCTTCCCCGTGTTCGGGTTTCTGAGTGTTCAGAGCCCATACTCTTGAATCTTCGCTCCGACTAATGGAGGCCCAGAAGGACCCCCTGCATCACACGTGCTGATGTGCTTAACAGGACACACGACGCGCCACCCTGTCCTGGACTCTGCTCGGGTTCAGATCTGTTTTTGGCAGATTCTTCATAGGTGATGTTCTGTACTTCGCTTGTATCCCAGGAAGAGGCAGGAGATTTTGCTTGTCTTTCTTTTCATGCCATTAAAAATTAATCAGTCAGTTCCCGTGTAGATAGGCAGTTTTACCCATAATAAGGTAAATTACCTATCAGCCAAAAGGTAATGGATTCAGCAGCCATTTGAAGATTATCACCTATATCCATTACTTCAGTAGAGTTGTAGTGACATTCTAATTTTGTCATCCCTCCTATATTTATTAGCTGAGACTCTGTTATATAAAAAACCTTTTTCTCATCAACTATTCCATGACCCACAGTACAGTCGATACAGGAAAGGCAGGATGAGGTGAGCTGCCGCCAGGCTGATTTAGGGCACTGCTGGCCAGGAGTCAGCAGTGTGGACTAAAGATGGTGTCCACCTGCTTCTGGGTCGGGGCTGCGTAGGGCGCAGAGCAGCTCCCTCACTGCGATGTGGACAGGGGGGTGGCGGGAGGAAAGGGAGGGGACCCTGACGGTGGTGTCTGTCCTCACACACGTGCCCTCAGCATGGACATGCATTGGTTGGGCAACCTTGGCCTCCTGTCCACCTTCTGTTGAGAATCACCAGGGCCTTTGGCCACCAGCTGGGATGGCAAAGGGGGTGGGGTGGGGAGCAACGTGTGGCCCTAGGGTCTGACACCAGCTCTGGCCTCAAGCACTGCACCCCCCCCCCCCCCAACAAACAGGATGGTGCCATTAATCAGACATGATGAGTCGGGCCCTAAATGTCAAAGTGCCATGGTGTTAAGGTGAGAAACTGCTGTGAAGGTGGATGTATGGTCTGTGAGTATCACTGAGCTCTGTCCATGTGTCACCTGTTAGGATTATTCTTTCAGAAAATATCAAACAGATGGAGAGATAGAAGTCCTGTAACAGATTGGATTTCCATGTCTTTACAGATTCTCAATTAGTTATTGAGATCAATAAAGCTCGTGTGTGGCAGTCATTTGCTACATCTCAGCATGTTTCTTCTCGTCAATAGGTTTCTTTCCATTTTTCTTGTAATTTTTGCTGAAAGCGGTTATTCATCTATAGTGGTTTACCACTTTCGGGATTATGCTGGATCTTCAGGGCCCATTCAGGGATCCTCTGCTGTCCGGTCGTCCTGTTGGGTGGTGGTGCCCGGAGGCTTGCTGGGAGGTCGGCTCTGGTTTGGGGAGAACACCTCCCGCTGGTGCTGTCCACCCCACGCAGGGCGCGTTCTCTGGCACGTTCTCCAGAATCTGCGCGTAGTTTGAATACACGGATCGTTTTAATTGTGATTATCTTTCCCTAGGTTTTCATGACTTAATGTACGATAACAAAACTGAATCCATGAGGACAATTAACCTCCTTCAGCGAATGAATATTTACCAAGAAGTTTTTCTCAGTGTTTTATACAGAGTTCTGCCCATACAAGTAAGTTGTGTTCCATGACACAGAGTTGCTCGTAGCAGGTGAGCGTCAGAACCGGCCCTTTTGGGTTGAAATGTCACCTGTGTTATTCTGATCTTTAGCCGGCTTGGTGTTCATGCAACAGTATTCTAATTATCTTCGTAAATATTGTGAACTTTGCTTTTTATTTGTTTTTTATAAGGTATTTTGTGCGTGTAGATGCTTCCCGGCTTATAATATATGTGTGCCGCCTGGAAGTGATATTTTTATGTGGAAACATGTAATCACTCCTCACGTATCTTTGAAATAAAAAACATTGGAAAGTTAGCAAACCACAATGACTACTTCTCATGTGAAGAAGGTAAAATTGGACAAAATGTAGTGTGAGCGTATCTAAGGAATGAGGGCAGGGTCCTCAGGACGCCCTACGCTGTCCACTCCTGTGTGGTGTGGGCTCATTGCTTGGATGAATCCAACTTCTGAGGACTGAATTTCTGCTGCCAGGGAGAAAGATTAGGGCTTCCCTAACAAACAATTTCTATTGTTCCCTTCTGCAGAAGTACTTAGAGCCAGTTTATTTTTATATTTACACCTTATTCGGGCTCCAGGCTGTCCACGTCGCAGCCCTGTACGTAACCAGCTGGCTCCTGAGCGGCACGTGGCTGTCGGGGCTCCTGGCAGCGATCTGGTACGTCGCCAACAGGTGAGCGGGAACCTGTCCCCTGTGTCAGATACAACAACAGCGCATCCCTCGCTTTCCAGCTCAGAGGAGGGCATCTGCCATGTCTGTGTGGGCGTCTCCCCCAGCGAGGTGGGAAGTCCTGTGTTTACATGTTTCAGGCTGAGGAGCAGAATGTTGAATTGCAGGTCATGAGGGTCACTTGTCATGGCCTATTCCATCACAGGCTCACCGTGTGGTCAGTGTTCCTCCAGCCACACACCTCGCCTCTCAGAGATGTTATAGTGTCTTCATTGTCGACCCTGACGGTGTGGCTCCTCATGACGAGCGAAGCGTAAAGCTCTGAGATGCAGGGGACTCGTCACCGTCTAAGTGTCTGTTCTAGACCCCGGAGCACAGTGAAGTCGCTTCTATAAAAATATTCAGAAAACATATTCACGCCCGGCCAGTGTGGTTCAGCGGTTAGAGCATCGGCCTGTGGTCCAGAGAGACCTGGGTTCAGTTCCCGCTAAGGGCGCGTGCCTCAGTTGCAGTTTGTCCCCAGCCCTGGTTGGTCGTGCAGGTGGCAGCCACTCAATGTGTCCCTTTCACGTCGATGTTTCTCTCTCTCTTCCTCTCTCTCCCTCCCGCTCTATCTGAACAAAAAAATGTCCTCGGGTGAGGATTAAAAATATATATATATATATTCAAGCCCGGCCACTGTGGCTCAGTGGTGAGTGTCGGCCCTTCACCAAGAGGTCGCTGGTTCAATTCCCGGTCAGGACACATGCCCAGGTTGTGGGCCCGATCCCTAGTGGGGGGCACACAGGAGGCAGCCAGTTGATGTTCTCTCTCATCGATGTTTCTCTCTCTCCTTCTCCCTTCCTCTCTCTCTCTAATAACAATAAAGAAAAACATTTTTTTATTAAAAGAAAAAAACGTATTCGAGATAGAAAAACTGCCTGACCTACAGTGGCAACACCAGTACTGAGCAGGAGACTCACAAACTCAAACACAAGTTCTAACATTGATTCTATTTCATGATTCTAAACAAATCACTTTCTGTTAAACCACTGAGTAATTACTATATGTCAAGCATTTTGCAAAATGCTTTCATGTGTCCTCTTAACAGCCCTATAGAGGAAACACTGTTATTATCACCGTTCTAGAAATGAGGACATTGAAGCTTGGGTTAACATACAACACTGTCATATACAAGTGTGTGTATATGTGAGAACATGCGCATATAGATGAAGGCATGTGTATATTTATATCGGTATGCACACAGCCAAGTCTTGGTCAGAGTTCAGACATAGGGTGCGAGACAACTATGTTATACTGCCTCTTAACATTTTAATCTAACATGTTATTCCTGCTAAGAGTAAATGAAAGTTTTTTTTTAATATGTTTTTATTGATTTTTATTTTAGAGAGAGGAAGGGAGAGGGGGAGAGAGAACCATTGATGTGAGTGAGAAACATCAATTGGCTGCCTCCTGCACACCCCCACTAGGGATCAAGCCCACATCCTGGGCATGTGCCCTGACCAGGAATTGAAGTGGGACCCCTCAGTCCATGCGACGATGCTCAGTTCACTGAGCCACGCCAGCTGGGCAATAAAAGGTATTTATTGAATGCCTAGTGCGTGGGGATGGTTCTTGGTACCCGGTGCACAAAGATGAAAACTGACCCGTGCTTGTCTTCTAAGGGGTCACATTCTAGGGAGGCAAGGAGCTCATAGAGGTCGGCAGTGACCAGTTCAGGACTCGGGTATAAAGCAGCGCGGAGCACAGGGACCGTGCACTGGGGCAGTGGGAAGCAGGGCGGTCAGCGTGGACACTTGTACTCGAGGCCCAGATTCACCACTGGACTGAGTGTGTGTGGACAGGGTACCTTAACTCTCTCCATGCCGAGTGTGTGTTATGGGGATGACGGTGAGGAGGAGAGGTTATTACCGAGAACCAATAACCAGGAACCTCCGTGTGACGTAGCTGTCACTTGGGGCGTCTGGAGGTAGTCACAGTACAGACGCAGCTGTGGCCACTGTCCCCTTTGCAGAACAGACACGACCAGGGTGGAGTTCACCATCCCCCTACGGGAGAACTGGGCCCTGCCGTTCTTTGCCATTCAGGTCGCAGCAATCACGTATTTCCTGAGGCCGAGCCTGCGGCCTCTGTCCGAGGTAAGTGTCCATCATCCCTCATGTTTTTAACCTGTCTTGTCCAAGCTGAAGAAGTTGTGATGCGCATGGTGTCCGAGTTAGTCCACGACCAACTTTTTAACTTGAGTTCAGTGAAGTCTTCTGAGCTTTCTCCTCTTTTGCAAACGAAAGGGTTTCATTTTTGTTGTTAAAAATGTGCTCTATATAATCTACCCTGAAGGAGTTGCAGCAAATCCCAGACAATTTCTGCAAAACTGTCAGCACCCCTGAGCCATTGCTCTTGCACTGTGATCCGGCTCACCGTTGCCCCCACGCCGGTGCGGTGTCCATGGAGCACGTGCGAGTGCTGACGTGCCAGGGAACCAGAGCCCCGTCTGTGTTCTGTGTCTGATTCCGGAGCTCTGGCTGCTCTCGAACTCCAGTGTGCACGACTTTTTATCACTAGTGACATGTAAATTGCACCGGGTTTTCTTCTCACAGAGGCTGGCCCTGCTCACCATCTTCCTGTCAACATTCATCTTCAGTCTGCTGTGGCAGTTCAATCAGTTCATGATGCTGGTGCAGGCCCTGGGGCTGTTCGTCCTGGACGCCCTGGACATGCTTCCCGCCCCGAAGGTGAGCGCCAAGGGCCACGCAGTCCCGACGGTCTCACTCAGCGCCCTGTCCTAGAAGGGGCAGGTGCCCACTGCCTGACCGGAGCCGAGCTGCCGTCAGCCGAGGGAAGGTGCCATTTCAGGCCTGTGATTCACACAGCCTCTTCCAACCACCTTACGTCTTATTCTGCTCATTGTGTGTTAAATGATGGATTTATTCAGAGTACAAAGTCTAGATCAATTGTCTTTTATAGGAATGACTTAAATTTTAATTTATAAGACAGGTCTTTTATTCATTTATCTTTTCCTTTATTGATTTTGAGAGAGAAGAAGGGAGACAGGGAGAGAGAAATGGAAACATGGATGAGAGAGAACATCAATTGGCCGCCTCCTGCGCACCCCTCACTGGAGATCAGGCCCACAACCTGGGCAGGTGCCCCAACTAGGAATTGAACTGGCGACCTCCTGATGCATGGGTCCATGCTCAACCACTGAGCCACACTGGCCAGGCTATTTTATTTTTTTATTTGAGGCATTTTTGTATGTCCACGTGGGTTGAGTTTTGCTTCTTTCAGTTTTTATTCCATTCAGAGCTGTCGTTGGCGAGAGCTGCTTAGGGCATCTCCATACGTGCCCGTGCCAGTCCCCACAGCAGGGGCAGGTGTGGGCGTCTCGCCTTCCCGACGACCGGCCCCTCGCGAAGGCCGTCCTCCGTGCCGCTCCGTGCCGCTCCCACACAGCTCTCAGTCCCTCAGAACTGGCACACAGATCAGATGAAGCGGTGTCCGACATGGTCCCGAGGTGGGGAAGTTAGGAAGGATGGAAGATGATGAAATCTGGTGGTCGGCTGTGGACAGTTACGGAAGGAATTAGAGGGAACTGAAGACTATACCCTGCGTTCTCCTGTTTCCAGGGTGTGGTTACAGCATTGTCTGCTTCCCTGCTTTATAGTGTCCAGTTTGGCTCCTCTTTAATTAATGTTACAAAAGTTTAAATGTTTTGTAGTTAAAGTTTAAGTAAACGGAAGTCTGTGATTTAGTGTCCTTTTTCAGTGTGCTACACAGAATCGGTGTGTTTTCTGTTGTAACTTGAGATGGCGCTGGCCCCTGGTCACCTGCCTCACTCCGGCTCTCGGGCTCCCCTTTGCAGGCCACGTGGCTGTACGCCATACAGATCGCCGCTTTGCTCCTGGTCTGCGCGCTTCAGTTCTTCAATTCCATGATTCTTGGATCCTTGCTTATCAGTTTTAACCTTTCAGTATTAATTGCAAGAAAACTTCAGGTAGGGGGTGTGTGTGTGTGTGTCTGTAAACTTTAAAGGGTGTGGTTTGTAGGACTTATTCTCATGCAGTAGTCAAAGGAAGACGCATGACAAATCCCACTAGAAAGCAGGGAGGCACCACCGGCTGTTTGGAACTTCGAGGTCAGTGCTCCTGTTTGTCGTTTCTCTGAGGGTCAGAGTCTTAGTTCAGCTCAGGAGTTCACCAGAGGCGCTTATTTGGATGCCATTGATTTAAAGTTGAAACAAAAGAGAGAACAGTTAAACTTTTTTTTTCTTTCATTATTCATTTTAGAGAGAGAGGAAGGGAGACGGGGAGAGAGACAGAAACATGGATGAGAGAGGACATCGATTGGCCGCCTCCTGCACGCCCCACACTGGGGATCAGGCCCACAACCTGGGCATGTGCCCTGACCAGGAATCAAACCAGTGACCTCTTAGTGCAGGGTCGACACTCAACCACGAGCCACACCGACCAGGCAGAACTGTCAAACGTCTGTCCTTACGTGAACTCGAGAGGAAGGGTGTGGTGTGCAGGGCACGCTCTCTACCTCCAGATGGCGGTCGCCTCACACTGCCATTGCCCCAGACCCCGACCTTTGTTACCGACAGTGAGTTAAAATGGACTCTTGAAAATCCAGATAAATACCTTTAGAACTAATGGGACATTTCCTAGGGTACTGTGTTTAAACACATTGACCTGATCTTTTCACTTTATCACCTAATCAGAGCTCCTTACATCTGCATGAGCATCGTAGCTTTTCCTTGATAAGTCCTGAAGCCTGAGCTCTTTCTCCAGAGCGTGAGCACTTGTGTCAAGAAGGTGCTTCGTTTTCCACTTTGGGAAGAATAAACCCTTTTTCTTTTCTTTTCTTTTCTTTTTTCCTCACCTGAGGACATTTTTCCATTTTTTGTTCAAATAGAGTGGGAGGGAGGGAGGGAGGGAGAAACATCGACATGAAAGGGACACATCGAGTGGCTGCCACCCCCACGACCCAACCAGGACTGGGGTCAAACTGCAACCGAGGTACATGCCCTTAGCGGAAACCGAATCCGTGTCTCTCTGGACCACAGGCCGATGCTCTAACCGCTGAGCCAAACTGGCCAGGGCAAACCCTTTTTCTTATTAGTCTTTGGTAAGAGCTGCTATGGACAAACTGTCATGAAGATGGTTAGAAGCAGGCTTTTCGTTGATTCAGAAACATTAGTTCTCCTTCAGGCTTTTAACCTTAATTGTAAGTAAACATCACTCATACTTGAACTCTTTAGATGCTGTCATATTTGATAATCTGTAAAGTTCCCTGAGGAGTATAAGAAAACTAGTGTATATCAAAGAGCACAGCTGACCTTCTTTCATACCCACAGATCTTTCATTTAAGTGGGTGGCAGTCTGTGATTCATGACTTGATGGAGAAATGACCAGAAGATGTGTCACATCAGTGCATCCTGAGCACCTTCTCCAAAGCAGACTTCACACTCTGGTTGCAAAGGTCTTTAAAAAGACTAGGATGTCCTGGCCGGTTTGGCTCAGCGGTTGGAGCGTCGGCCTGCAACCAGAGAGTCCCAGGTTCGGTTCCCGCTAAGGGCTCGTACCAAAAAGAAAAAACATTTTCATGGGATACATTTTCTCATTTTATAAAGTTTCTTATTTAAGGATTCATTTACTTTTAGAAAATTATAAATGTTGAAACAATGTAACCTCATGAACGTTAGTAGATTGTAGTTTTCACATATTTTCTCTATATATTGCATGATCCAATGTTTTAAATCCTTACGTAATCTTAAGTGATTTGAAGTTGAATTAAAATTTAAGAATTAATACTCAACTCTTTTAATTTCTAGAAGAATCTGAAAACTGGAAACTTCCTTAATAGGCTTGGAAAACTATTGTTACATTTATTTGTGGTTTTATGTTTGACGCTTTTTCTCAACAACATGATTAAGGTAGGTTAATAAAATGACATATTTAATTTAGCTTTGCTAAAGAGTCACCAGTTTTACTTTAAACAGTTGGTTTTAACTTGTTTCAGTAGCAGGATTATTTTCTTGATTTTAGTCCTTGCTTTCTATTTATTGTTTAACATGTTCTACCTTGAACTCACCTTTTGAGCTATTAAACTTTTTAGAAGCTCAACTTTAAAAACATTAAACAAGTATTTTTCTCAATTTAAAAAATTCTACTTCTTAGAAATCATTTTCTGCACTATGGAACTTTTTAAAAAGATGGGATGATTTTTATTGGGTTAAGTTGGTAAATAAACTGCTTTACTCTCACAGTCACATGTCTTACTGAGGTGACCTGTCCCCCATGAAAGGCCCGTCTCGGGCCAGGACACGTGAGCACATGGCAGAGTCCTGCACGGGCCAGCAAACCCTCAGCTGTGTCGGCTGCCACAGAAAACCCCTCCTCTCAGGCCTTTGTTACTAAGTCCTTAATCCGCGTGCAGTTCCGTGCCGATCAAAACCTTACTTGAGCAGAGCAGTCAGCATTTCTGAGAACCCGGCGGGGCTGCGCGTTCATCCGTCTCCCTGCTGTAGACACCAGGGTCCTCCCTGGCACGAGCCATGTGAGAGCCACATGCTGGGGCCACTGACTCCCCGAGAATAGCATCTGTTCAGTTGCCCTTGATGTGTTGCCGGTGACCTACAGTGACAATGGCAGGACCTAGAAAATGCAGCCTGTGGGACTCCCTGCTGCTTCTCCTGCGTGGGAGAAACTCCTGCGCCTCAGATCAGCTCACTGGGGTCTCCTTGAGCATCTGTGTGTGCTGGTCTCATGTGGATCACGCTGCGGGTGTGAGCCTCGTCACACATCTCTGCGTGTGTTCTCTGCACCCACCTCACTTCTTGACTTGCCTCACGTTCCTTCTGTCCTCATCCCTTCATCTGATACAATGTGTTCTCCGTTTGTGTTGTGTGGAGTGTTGTGAGTCATACATCAAAACTGAAACTGCACATTGAAGTTCTAGTCACTGACGATAAACACGCATCTGTCCACTCACCCGAGTGTGGCTATGTCTCGACGTGTCCGCGTGGCAGGTCCTCAGAAACCCGCAGCCACACAGGCCCTGGGCTGGGCACTCCTGAGGCTGCAGGTTGTCAGAGACAGACCCCGTGGGCTCCAGCCACCTCCCTCTCCCTGAAGCCAGAGAAGCTCGTCTTTGTCTGCTTTTCATGTTGAACTTGCCCATAAGATTCTGTTTGACAAAATGATTCTGCTGGGAATAAAGGGGGGTGCGCAGCTTCTGAGTCCCTGCCCCAGGACCACTGGGAGCACGTGCGGCCACCTGCCCGGTGCTGTGAGCTGGGCACTGAGCCTGCAGGGTGGGCGCGGGGCCTGGGCACTGATGTGTCTCCGTGCTGTCCCAACAGAGAGCTCTCAGCCTGAAGTCGGATGAGCACATATTTAAGTTTCTGAAGGCAAAATCTGGATTCGGGGCAACAAGGTATGACCGAGTTTTAAATCTGTTTGTTTAACTTTTTCTTTAATAAGTAAAATTCATGTTTACTTTTTACATTAAATCAGCAAAGACTGAAAAACTTATGTGCCTGCAGCATTCATTTCAGGCTCATTTTGAGGAAAAATGTGTTGTTCACTGATACTGAATTTAGCCTGTGGTTTCGTGTCCCCAGAGACTTCGATGCGAACCTGTACCTGTGTGAAGAAGCATTTGGCCTTCTGCCCTGGAACACGTTTGGGAGGCTCTCGGATACCCTGCTTCTCCACGCTTACGTGTTTGTCCTGCTGGTCACAGTGACGGCAGCACTGGCTGTCGCCCTCCGTAACCTCAGGTGCGATGGGCTCTGGAAACCCAGCGCTGCGCCTCTGCAGACAGTCTGTGTGCCGGGAAGTTGCTTGGCTGGAAGGGAAAGTGTGGGCCGGAACCAAGTGCAGTGTCAGCTTACCCGGGGCGTCCGGGGGTGGGTCCACCTCGTGCAGAAGCCAGAGTTGGGGCTGCAGCATGTGATGGTCCAGTGGGGACCAGCACCAGTGGGCAAATCACCTCAGCGCATCATTTTCACTTTCTCGGGAATCCGGGGTGTGGACAAGGATTTCTGGGAGATCTGAACTCTGGTTCATAGCATCACACACCCAAGTGTGAGGCTCGCAGAGAGGTTCAGGCCCTTAGAAAAGCATCACTTTATCTTAAAGTGGGGCCTTTGTTGCTTCCTCCCCCGCCCACCCACCACGGCCACACCCACTCTGCACACCTAGGTGGAGACAGGCTGACAGGCTGCTTCCCGCTGCGCTCGGAGCTCAGCCTCTAGATCAGTGCACATGTGCAGGGAGCATGGATAAGTCGGCGTGTCCCCACGGGGACTGTAGGGCGGTGCATTTTCTTCATCCAGTAAATGGACTTATGGGGTGGGGGGATCTCACTGAAGATCGCTGGAGAGGCCTTGATGAAAGGCCGTGGGAAGACTCAGGTCCCGGGTCAAGGAAACCCCCTGAGAAAGGCCCGTGGTCTCAGGACTGCTGGCTGGCGGGTGCGGTCACTGCGGGCTGACGCTCATCCACGGAGGGACTGAGTTATGAGGTGATGGTGCGTTTTCACTTCTTATTTATAAAAACTTGAAAAATACTAGTAACTTGTAAACCATCTTTCAAGCTCTCTTAGTTTCAGTGATTCAAAAGGGTTTTTTTGCTCTTCTCAGGTAAAGGGTTGATGCACTTCAAATGTTTACTTAAAATGAAATGCGTTAGTTACATTTTAGTTATTCTAATAATGCGCCTCATAAACAAATGTAAATCATCAGTGGTAGTGCTTAGGTTTTATCTCAGGGAAGTAATACCTTTCTAAATATACGAAAGCACAAGTTTATTGTATCTAAAAAAGATTTGACTAATTAAACTTCTGGATCCAGTTTGTCCAGTGCTTCTCCCGCCCAGCCACCCCTGGGGCAGACGGGGAAGGGCACGGTCAGCCTGGGAGCAGACGCCGCCTACAGCCTGGCGCACACCGTCGTGTTCGGGGCCTTGGCGCTGAGCACAATGAGGTATCTCTGCCTTACCTGTGGTGTGTTCTGTTCACCTTCCGCCGGCCTCATTCAGTGATCCCATCGTGTCACGTTCCCGTCAGGTGTCCTTGTTACTGTCTCCTCCCAGAGCAAACCCAGCCCAGCACGGCCCGTTTCAACTCCTGTGCCTGTTCTCAGAGGCAGGGCCGCAAACAGCTAGCCCGTGGCAGCCGTTTCTGCCCGGTTTGCAGGATGTGAGCACAGGCTGTCTCAGGCTGACCTCTGCCCCTTGTCCTCACAGAATGAAGTACCTGTGGACGCCACATGTGTGCGTGTTTGCAGCTTCCGGCCTGTGCAGCCCTGAAGTGTGGGGGCTACTTCTGAAGGTCACCCGTCTTTATAGCCCAGCCAGGGTCAGTGCGTCCTCCACACCACCTTCATGACTGCGTGTTTCTCTCGTACCAATGCTGTTGTTTTGTTTTGTTTTCCTTTACTGATTTTAGTGAGAGAGGAAGGGAGAGGGAGAGAGAAACATCCATGAGAGATCATCGATTGGCCGCCTCCTGCACGCCCCACACTGGGAATCGGGCCCAAAACCTGGGCTTGTGCCTTGACCAGGAATCGAACCAGCGACCTCTTGGTGCAGGGTCAGCGCTCAATCACTGAGCCACACTGGCCAAACCCAATGTTGTTTTATTTAGTAGTTGTCTGTCCATCAGTCTGATGAAATGAATACCGAAATTTGAAGCGAAAAGTAGGTGATGGACACATTATAATTTTATAGGGAATTTTTTTATTTTATTTTTTAATTATTTCTTTTTTCCCAGACCATACATTAAATATGCTCATTATACAGACTTTGGAAATAATTGAAAAGCACAAAAAGAAAAATTAAAAATCACCGATAATCCCATTGTCCAGAGTTATCACTACTGCAGCTACAGTGTGTTACCCTAAAAGTCACGGTCCGTGAGTGCCTGGTCATGCTTACTAGCCTGCAGGTGCGGCCCTGAGCTGTCTGCCCTCCGGCATCACGGGGGACAGCACGGTAGAGGCCACAGCATCCAGACCCTGGCGTTGACGCGGTTGCTTCGCATGTTGGAGACTCCACTCAGCTCCCTCAAATTATATTTCTGTTGTTTAAAAAAGTCATGTTTACAAAGCAAAACTCTTGAGGCAAAAGTGCTCAAAATATTTGTAATCTGAATGATGTCTTCTTTGCGTAGATGTGTGTGATGCGGTACGCAGTTCCGATGCTAACACTCTCCTACCTGTGCTGCAAGGTAAGACCGCGCTTCCTCGCTCTCGGCCTAGCTGTGGAGCCGAACAAGCGCTTTGACTAGTTTTTCCGGGGTGTTTATTGGCAAACACTAGACTGTGGAGGTTATAAATATTTCTGTGGTCTCTGTGGCCAGTTGGCTATGAGGAAGGCTGACCCGGTTCCCAAAGAGTAGTTATGAAGTAAAAACAGCAGCAATAGCGGCAGTTTAATCATTCTCATTAGTTTTGGTTTTGACTTACTATTCAGCTGATGCAAATTCTGAAAGTAGAGATGTTTGCAGACCTATCGTGAGGTGAATACGGTAGGAGAACTGTGTCCCCTGTTATCTGCTCTCTGGAAGGTGACCCCGGCCCGGATGTGGCGTTGGGTCGGTCACTTTGAGGGGCTGGCCTTGCCGGCCTGGTGGTTTTGGAGGAAATAGGGGTGCTCTCCATGTTCTCGTGGACTGACTGACGAAACAGACAGATTGTGCTCGAGTCTGAGACCTCCCATTGAGAAATGCCCGTCGTTGGTCAGCCGACGACTGTCACACTGTCACATCTGATGTCAAGAGACTCGAATTACCACCTGGGCAGGTAACCCAGCCTGTCTTATCCAGGTGAACTCTCCGCCTCTCTTTTAAATAGAATCTTACGTAGTTTATAAGTTTAGATGATTTTCTTTGAATTTTGTTTTAATGTGACTGGGTTTTAAACTGTCCGTGTGAGCCCTGGTCTGGCAGTGACTCACAGGGACTGGCCCGGGGTTGGGGTAGCAGCTCCGCTCACGTCCCTTTGCTCGCTTGCACACGAGGTTTTATTTGAGCAAAGCATTTAGGCTAAAAATAACCGTTAGATGGTCACCATGTTGGGTGACTCTGTGTAAATACTTGAAACACCGTGTCCTGCCCTGTCCTGTCCATCCACACGTCTGCTGTCACAGGCAGGCCCTGTGCTAGCTCCAGACACGGGAACTGTGGAGCTGGACTGTCCCACCCGCCGCTGGGGAGTCCACACTCGTTCATACACGAGACTTCTTACAGCATCCGAGATGCAACAGCTACGATGAGGCAGACGCAGCCTCAGTGATGAGCGAGGTGACCTGCAGTCAGATCCTCCGCACAGGAAGCCCCAGCGCACCCCGTCCTCACCTCACCACTACGAGTGCACACCCAGACCCCGCCCCGCTGTCCCGGCTGAGGTCTCTGCTGTCTCAGCCACTCACTTCACATTTTGCTGATTTTTTTTTTTAAGCTGTTTGGGGCCTTAAGTTTCCTGTTCTTTTTTTCACTTGATCTGAGCGAAAGAGAGAAGGGAGAGATGTCGATTTGTTGCCCCAATATGCCAGGGTTGGGGGCTGACCCCCGGTCAGGGCACATACAGGAATCAGCAGTGAGTGCATGAGAATGTGGACACAGGTTGATGCTACCCTTTCTCTCTCTCAAAATGAACACATTCAAAAATAAGTGAGATCGCTTTTAAATAAAGAAAGTAGACTAGCTATTCCAGCTTCTCCACGCGGGTGCACATAAAGTCACAAAGGAGAGAGAGGTGTTGTGCATTAGTGGTCACCCCAAAACAGGCTTGTTTCCCAGCTGTCAAACAGATTTATCTGTGATACAAACTCATATTTCAAAGCCTGATTTGAGTTTCACATTCAATTGTAATGAAGATTTCAAAGTTTCTTGTTCATAATACTAATTTTGCTGTGTGTCTTTTTAAGATAATTCTCTTTATTTTTATTTATTTATTTTTGTTATCCTCACCCGAGGACATTTTTGCATTTATCTTCAGATAGAGAGGGAGGGAGGGAGAGAGGGAAGGAGAGAGAGAGAGAAACATCAACATGAGAGAGACACATCGAGGGGTCGCCACCCACACGACCCCAACCAGGGCCGGGAACAAACTGCAACCGAGGTACATGCCCTTAGCGGGAACCACACCTGGGTACGTGCCCTTAGCGGGGACTCTCCGGACCACGGGCCGATGCTCTAACCTCTGAGCCAAACCAGCCAGGGCAAGATAATCCTCTTTAAAAGAGAAAAGCATTTATTAGTTTCCACTCTAAATTGAAGAGTTTAATAATATTCTTACCTCGTGTAGATTAACGTTTGGATTGCTCTAACCCCGTATATACTACTGCTGATCATTTAGAAACAACATTTTGTTAATTCAACACTTATTTTCCTATTGGTTAATGATTTTAACATTTTCAGAATTAATAACAGCAACTTTCAAACTAGAGAAATGTGTGATATCCATTGAATTCACAGCTTTAAAAATGTTTTATAGCAAAAGAATTAGAACGTATTGTTAAAAAGTTTGTTTCTATTGATTATCAAACTCCTAGGGATCGTGGATAGCTGAAGTATTGCAAAAGCATCATTTGATCAGGGTCTCTTCTGGAACCCAGAACTGGCACCAACACTCGGTGGCCCACCTTCACCAGGAGACGAGGTGAATGAGCAGTAGAAATGGCCTCAGACGAGAGGACAAGATAGGAAGGGACTGGGACAGCGCGGCCGGCGTGGCCCTGGTCACCCACACCCAGGAAGCAGGGGCGCCTTTTCCCTGGCCTTCCGTCCCGTCAGGAAGTGAGTCTCGCTCTCACCAGACGGAGACGACAGAGTCTCTCGGGCAGCTGCCCTTTGCTAAGCCTTTGGCATGTGACCTGCTAGAGTGAGACAGGTGCGTCCTGTTGGAGGGCAGGGTCTCCGAGCTGGAGGCGTGAGTGTGGTGCTCAGACGTACCCCTCGGTCTGCGGAGCCCTGTTTCAGATGCTGCTCCCGCCATGGTGCCTGTAACTACAGTAATGTGAAACCACTGTCCAGATGTCTAGGACAAAGACATGACACGTGCCCTGGCCGGTTTGGCTCAGCGGTTAGAGCGTCGACCTGCGGTCCAGAGAGACCCAGGTTCGGTTCCCGCTAAAAGCACGAACCTCGGTTGCAGTTTGTCCCCGGCCCTGGTTGTCTTGTGCAGGGTTGTCTTGTGCAGGTGGCAGCCACTCGATGTGTCCCTTTCATGTCGATGTTTCTCTCTCTTTGTCTTCCTCTCTCTCCCTCCCACTCTCTCTGAACAAAAAAATGGAGGAATGTCCTCAGGATAAAAAAAAAAAATATGACACATTCTCACTACAAGTAGGAGAAGGAGCTGGATTGGGAGGCAGGGCTGTGCTGACTCTGAACCGAGGTCCGCAGGTCCTGCCAGGGGAGCGACAGAGTGAAGGTGCCCCTGCGGCATCTGCCCCCAGGCGCCGGGAGAACAGAGCAGCTCCCACGCTGTCTGCAGCGCGGGGCGCCCGCACCAAGGGCAGGTCGGTGTAGTCGCGTCTCTAGTCTGCCCTGAACTTTCCCATGGTGGTTGCTTCTCATCTCCCAACTAACGTTTGATGAGATTTCAGCAACACACACCATGGCATTTTTATCGAGTGAAATAAGAATTCATTCTAAAAAGTCGACAACACTTATAGTCATAATTAGCTTGGGTGCAGTTGATTTTGGACACATCTCAGACGTCAGCGACTTGGGCAGCAGGAGGGTGAGGCAGTGCCCACGTCCCCGTTGCTGCGGCCCAGCTCGCGAGCGCACGCAGTCCCTGCTCTCACCGTTCCACAGTGGCAGCTGCGGGTGGATTTTGGTTGGTTGGTTGTGTTTTTGGCTGTAGTTGTGGCCAGGAGTGATGGATGAGCTGTCGGAGCTGAGGGAGTTCTACGACCCAGACACAGTGGAGCTGATGCACTGGATCAGGTAAGAGGGCCGTTGGTCCAGCCCGCTGCGCCGCCCCACCCCCACCCTGCCGTCTCCTCGATCCGGGGTCTCGCCCCAAGTGCAGGTCACTGGACACCCTCCGGTTTGTTTTCCGCTTTTGGCTGAGTCCAGAGGTGAGGATGCATTCATTCTCAAGTTTGTCCTTAAAACTCTGCGTTTGGAAATCTTTTTTTTTTTAATCCTCACCCGAAGACATTATTTTCCAATTTTTGTTCAGATAGAGTGGGAGGGAGAGAGAGAGAAACATCGACGTGAAAGGGACACATCGAGTGGCTGCCTCCCGCACGACCCCACCAGGGCCGGGGACAAACTAACCGAGGTACATGCCCTTAGCAGGAACCGAACCCCGTCTCTCTGGACCACAGGCCGACGCTCTAACCGCTGAACCAAACCGGCCAGGGCTAGAAATTTTTTCTTTTATTCAAGAACTGCTCTCTGCAGCACAGCCGGTGAAGGGGGGACCCCCATGGGGAGGGAGCTGCGGGGAGACTGTCGGACCTGAGTTGGGGGCTCTGCCCTCGGCCGGTGTGTTTTCACCACTGTTCCTCTCGCACCCCGGGAGGCTCTCAAGGAGCCTTCACATGGAGCCACGGGCTCGGGCCCATGCGTGGTGGCGAGGTCCAGAGAGCCTGGGGAACACCAGGGCTGCTGCGGCCGCGCACTGCTCCCGGCCACGTGGGCTCCCGGCCACGTGGGCTCCCGGCCACGTGGGCTCCCAGCCCCCAGCCCCTCGGCCTTCAGCGCCAGAGCCTGGCACACCCTGCCTCCTGCCAGCAGGATCGCGTTCTGCCCAGAGCGGCGCCCGCCAAGCCCGCCAGGTGGTCTGCGCCGTGCTGCCCATCGACTCCACTGGGAGATGTTAGAGGCTCTAACCGGTTTTAGTTGAGAAACTTTTTAGGGTTCTAATTTTTAGTGATAGAGAAGATTGTTTTTAATGCTTTTCTGCCTTTAGTTCCTTAGAGATCTAAATTTAAGTATAAAACCAAGGATACTTCAGGACTAAATTTTTCGTTGACCTGCAAGGACATTTGGTTGACTCCAGCCCCGGCTCTTCTCTGGAGAGCCAGGTCAGTTCAGCCAGCCCCACGCCCACCCGGCCGAGCCCTGCGTGTGTGCGTCTTTGCCGCTTTGCTGAGAGTGTCTCCTGGATGCAAAGGTTAAACCCCTGTGTTCTGACCCTCTTTCACCAGGACCCAGGGGGCACTGCCTACGTCTGACAAGCCCTCAGAAAGCACTTACCCAGCCAGGCCAGGGGGCTGTCCCTTCTCCCTCTGTGTCCTCAGAGTGTTTGCTCTCTGGTTCCTGGGGTCCCTCTTTGACAGGAGCAGTTCAGTTAGACCCATAGGTCTGAGTGCTTTGAGGTGTGACATTTTAACTCTGGCTTTGGGAGTTTCACTAGAAATCATCTCTTCCCGGGACGAAGCCTACATGTGCAGTATTTCTCAGTGTGTCGAGACAAAGAAAACGGACAACTTCCTTTGCACGTAATCAAACAGAAAGAATTGTTCTATGTATTTTAAATACGAGGTGGGTTAAGTTCAGGCCTTAAATGCCTATAAGTCACTTTATATTTAATGAATCACTTTGTAGTATTTACATAATTCTATAAATCTTTAAAGTGTAGATAAAGCAAGTGTAAACACATAATGCTCAGTTTACTGATTAGTTCAACCGTAATTAACTTGTTGAGGCTTAGAGCTTTAAAAATAAATGAGCATATTTGTTCACAATGCCGTCAGGTCATTTTGGAATGACATTTAAATTATATAATGTAAATCCACTTGACCTGTGAGTCCTCGTCATTATTTAGTGACAGTCCTTACGGAATAAATCATTTGCAGGTTGGGCACCCTGCTATGGAACTTGACAGAGAGCCATAGAAACAAATTACCCTTCTATTTTATACATCATTTGTTCAAACATTGGTAAAATTGCTTTTCCCTCTAATAGAGAAGTGTCATTCGGTGGTTAAGAGCATGGCAGCTGGTGCAGACACAGACCACAGGCTGTAGCAGCAAACAGGTCTGTGGAGAGGAGCCAGCCTGCGTCTGTCTGTCCAGCTGTGCTTTTACGTGGCGGACAGAGTCCCTTCTCCTGTGCCGCGCACCTTCCCACAGAAAACGCAAAATGCAGTGACTCTGGCTCTGAGGTTCAGGAAATGTGTGTGTCTTGTTTGTTGTAACTTTGCGCTTGCCTTACGGCTAAACTGCGCCTCCCCCTTCTCATTAAACCTTGTTCCCCTGACCACGCGGCACAAGTGTCCAGAGCTCCCTGAAATTGCTGGTTCCAGGGACGGAGCGAGCACCTACCCGTGTGTCGCTAGGTCTGCTCGTCAGAGTGGTCGGCCTCTCTGCTGCACCAGGCCCCTTAGAGCTTCCTCTGGGCCCTCCCAGGCTCAGGCGGCGGGTCCTCCCCCAAGCACTCGCAGGAGGCCTAGCGCTCTCTCCACTGGGGTTTGAGGGGCTGAGAATGCACTGCAGGGAAGAACATCTTGAACGTTTCCAAAGCGAGTTATTTGTGGATGTCACCACAGGAGGTGTAGGGTGTCTTGCTCAGTGACACCAGGGCCTGCTGGGTGGCGTCTGTGCTGTCGCCCGGCAGTCAGTGGGAGTGACGGAGATCCTCAGGGCTCCTTTCATGCCCTTCTCCACCCTGGGGGCCGCCTGCTCCAGCGTCTGCAGGGCTCAGGGATCCCGGCGAGAACTCCGGCGCGCACCCGGGCGGCACGGCCTCTGCCCTCACGTTGAAGGGCAGGTCTGTGCTGAAGGAAGTGCAGAGCAGGTCGTGTCTCCCAGTCTCCTCACCCCCTGCGGGTCGCTCCAGGCTCCCAAGGGGAGGGAATGGAGTCAGATACTAAGACTCTTCGTTTCAGGGAGGGGGAAGGAAAAGGCTTCGCAGGGATCCCCATCCCCTGTGGGCGGCAGAGACGCGCACCGTGGTGTCTGGAAAGCCGCTGGCAGTGGGGGCTGGGGCCTGTCGTTCCGGGGTGCGCACAGCTCTCCTGACCAGGACAGGAGCACAGGGACTGAGACGTGTCTCCACATGAGGTGCTGTGCCTGCTCGCAGAGTCTCTGCCACATTTTGTTTTGTTTTAACTACTGTTTTTCTAAAAAGTAATTGAGAGTGGTCTCGGGTTGCCTTGCTTGTTTTAAACACACCCTTGGGCTTGCCCTGGCTGCAGGCTGGGCTGTTTCGCTATAGGCAGCTCTTCAGCTACATTCACACAAAAAGCAGTGGCAGCATTTTGACATTTTGAGTTCTCTTCTGCTGGATTCTGCCCCTGTGGACCAAGAGCGGGGAGGATCCTATGGGTTCAGCCTGGAAGACTCAGACCCGAGACGGTTCGGGTAGAGCAGACCCATCCGTGAGAGGGTTCCCAAGCAAAACGTGCAAACAATTTGTAAAATAGTTTCATGCACATTAGTCTCAGTCAACCTCTGCGCTGCTTCCGACTTCAGGCACTTGCTGCCCAAGCAGGTGGCCCTGAGACCCGCCAGGTCCTGTCTGCGCTGTCTGTGGGGAGCCCAGGTGGGCTAGCTGGGACTCTTGCTCTTTCAGCACCCACACCCCGGGGACGGCCGTGTTCGCTGGCAGCATGCAGCTGCTGGCCGGAGTCAAGCTGTGCACGGGCAGGACCCTCACCAACCACCCCCACTATGAGGACAGCAACCTGCGGGCACGGACCAAGGCGGTAAGGGCCGCTCTGCCTGGTCTGGCTTCGGGGGCAGCTGTGAGCTTCGCCTGCTCTTGGTCTGGGAGGGTGTCGGGGTGGGGGAGCTGGATGTTCAGGGCCGAGACCCCACCCCGTGGGAGGTGGCAGCACCCCTGGAAGTAGTGGTCCTCCGCCTACCCGGCCCGCCTTGCTCCGAAGGTCTACCAGATCTACGCAAAGCGGCCTCCGGAGGATGTGCACGCCCTGCTGCGAGCCCTGGGCACCGACTACGTCATCCTCGAGGACAGCATCTGTCACGAGCGCCGGCACCCGCGGGGCTGCCGGCTCCGCGACCTGCTCGACGTGGCCAACGGACACGTGAGCACAGGGCCCCGGGCTGGGCCCACAGGGACAGCCCCTGAGTCGGCACCGTCTTCAGGGGTCCTGCCGACGGGGTGGGGGGGCGTAGTGCTGACAGCACCTGTCTGCAGCTGGGCAGGAGGCTGTGCCCCCCACGCCTGCTGTCCCTGCTCTCCCCTGGGCCCTGCCCCCTGAGCACAGGTGGTCTCTGGCGCCCAGCGTGACTCAGCAGGAAAACATAACCCTCAGCCTAAAACTCTCGACTGTACAATGTTCAGGATTCAGCCCAGCCGGTGACTGAGCGTCGACCCTGCACCAAGAGGTTGCTGGTTCGATTCCCAGTCAGGGCACATGCCCAGGTTGTGGGCCCGATCCCCAGTGGGGGGCGTGCAGGAGGCGGCCAATCCATGTTCTCTCTCCCTCTCCCTTCCTCTCTCTCTAAAAATTAATAAAGAAAAAAAAAACTTTTTAAAGAATAAAAGTTCAAGATTCAGAAAGCTTAAGAGCTAACTTCTTGGCAAAGTTCAAGTGCACCGCACATTATCCTGACCCGTAGCCACCGTGCTGACATTGGATCCCAGAACCTACTCACCTCGTCACTGTGAGTTTGTCCCTCACCATCCCGGCGTGTCACCTGACTGGCCCACGGTCATTCGCGCACCTTAAATGCCTACAGCTTGACTTGTCCATGTCAGTGACGCTGGGAGAAAGGACTTCTGCCCAAGCTGTTCGTACCCACCTTGAATTCAGCGAGTCAGGAAGCCCAGACTTGCATTTGAGTTTTGCTCCGTGTGTAGCGTGTTTTCACTAGTCCAATGAGCTGCAGGTTTTCTTGGATTGCGTAGTGAGAGGACAGTGGCCACTCCCTAGGACAGGGACATGCTCAGTTCCAGCCGTGCCACCAGGGGCGGTCCCTGTGCCCACATTTGCCTTGGCCCCAGCTCCCACCTTGGGGGTGGGGTGACCCCCAAGTAGCCAGTGACATTAAATCATATCACTTAAGTTCACTCAAGAAACCCATCACCTGCCCCTACTTGTGTTGTCTCTTACAAATGTGATTTCTTTTGAATTTTTTTTCTTTTTATTGATTTTAGAGAGAGAGGAAGGGAGACAGAGAGAGAGAGAGAAACATCGATGAGAGAGAACATCAATTAGCTGCCTCCTGCATGCCCCCAACTGGGGATCAGGCCCACAACCTGGGTATGTGTTCTGACCGGGAATCGACCCGGTGACCACTTGGTGCAGGGTCAACGCTCAACCACTGAGCCACCCCAGCTGGGCTAAATGTGATTTCTTTAACCAAATTACACTTGGCTTTGTTTTGGCTTTAGATGATGGATGGCCCGGGAGAGAATGATCCAGACTTGAAGCTGGCAGGCCACCCTCGCTTCTGCGAGGAGATCAAGAGGGACCTGCCTCCCTACACAGCCCTCTTCACCCGAGTGTTCCGGAACAAGACGTTCCACGTCTACAAGCTGGCCCGCGACAGGCACCCAGCTGCCCGTGAGCCTCCACCTTTGACGTGAGACTCGGTGTCTCAGTAGAGAGCATTTCTTGTGTGATTAGGTAGCTCGAACCTCAATGCTGTGATCTGAGTAAGTTCTGCAGATGTTTACACAACTGTCCCGGCCTCTGGAGTGTCTTAGACCAGCTTAATTCTTCTTCCTCTGTCCTTCGAATGTTCTCTGTCCTAAATGTCGTCGACTTCCTAGGGGGTCCAGGGTTCCGTGGCAGGAAGCAGTGTGTGCCCGTCAGTGGCCTGAACAGCCACGTGTCCTGTGGGAAACCCACAGCCTGTCCAGGGTTTGAAGCCCCTTGACCCTCCAGTTGACTTAGACAGTGCTGGTGGAGATGTGCTGAGGAGGTGCATAATTAAACCATTGAATATTATCTCACTAGTGAAGGCCAATCAGTGGCTTTTTAAAAGCTCTTTATTGTCCTATTTCACCTAAAAAATTTATAATGTTTTCAAATTACCATGCTTTTACTATTTCAGAAAAATCATGTTAGGTCTTTGTAACTGAAACGTTTTGTTGTGCTCTGCCTGAAATGTAACGTGTAGCGTGTGTCACGTGTGTGCACATGCACACGTGTGTGCGTGTCAGTGCTGGGCACAGAAATGTTTCAGGTTCGTGTTGTAAGTCTTCACAGGAGCAAATATGTATGTTCCTACTGTTCAGTGTCATTATTTTAAAACCTGCTGATACTACGTAACCTATCCTGCAAGAAAGATAACTTTTCTTTCTTGTTTAGATTTACTGGGTTTGCAAAGTTTTGTAGACGTTTTGTTTTTAGCCTTTGTATTTTTTATGGCCTAGAACCTTGCAAAGTCTGAGTATTTTTTAAATATTGCATCTTAACTAATCCACTAATACAGTGATTTTGGCAGAGAGCATTTTCCTGCCAAGTCTGACTTGGCCTCCAGGCTCACTGTGAGGGCCCTGCTGGCGGGACTGTTTCTCCCCGAACAGCAACCAAGTGCCTCGAAGTCCTGCCTACTCGTGAGCAACCAGGGCTGTGCACCTGCTCCGGGAGGTCTGGTGATTGCTTTTATCATTCCAGTCTACCAGTGGAGACATGTAAAAGTTACTGATAAAAGCATACTGTGCATTTAATTAAATCACGATGGCTGACGACATGGACTTTCTCCCCTGTTCCTGATGGTTGGAAGTGACCCTGTGTCTCCTTGCAGTTGTGTGAAGTGAATCACCAGGCCTCCGGGTGTGTCTCGTGTACAAGCCGCCTGTCTGGCACATTCTGAAAGAAGTGGCCCACGGGCACGGTGACCGAGGGTACTCAGCTCTCATCAAGACGTGTTTAAGTGAAATTGGACAGCTGGGGTATTTGCGTTTGCAGTGACCCTCCTGAGCTAACCTTCTGTGACCTGGGAAGGGTGGGGACCTGGGCAGCTGCAGTGATGAGGGCTGGGCACGTGGACGAGCCTGAGGGCCGAGTGGCCGGCAGCCCTCGCCGGCACCTGGCTCTGAGGCACAGGTTGGTGGACTGTGGGTTCATGTTTTAAATCCTGTTAACATTCTGAGATGTATTTCAATTTACTTTAAATGTTCCTGTGTGTTCATCAAAGCATCTGGGTACGTGGAGTCCGGAGCATGTACGTAAGCTGAGGCCGTCCTCACCGGTGGATGGGTCCCTGAGCTCTCCTGCTGGGCTGGGGCTGTGGCCCCGAGAGCCTGCAGACGTCCACACACCTCTCCAGGTCCCCTGAGCCGTGTAGACTCTCTGTGCTCATCAAGTGCCCTGTGGAGCCTCTTCCCGAGCACCTGGGGGAGGAGAGCAGTGAGCAGCTGCCTGGCCGGAGCCCCCCCGTGCGTCTCGGGGGCTGCGGTCGCTTGTTGACAACCGCGAGGGGCTGTCCTTAGGGTCAGAACCACACTCAGCGAGCGTCCAGAGAGCCTCTCGGGGCAGGAAGTGCTCTTACCTCCACTGTTGTGGCGCACCCGCCCCCGGACACCGCAGGGCTGCCCTCCCTCGGGACTGTGCCCACAGTCCTCTGCGACACCTTCTCTCTGGGCACATTCCCGCGAGCCGGGGGACATGGGGTAAAACCAACAGTTGCTTCTGGAAAAATCAACATGAATGATTTGATTTGATTTGATCTGATTTGATTTGATTTGATAAAGGCTGAGATGCTCATAAAAATAGCTTTTAAATTGGGTGTGGTTGAGAAAATTATAAAATATTGAGAAAACAAAATTCAAGAGACTCTCTGAGCTTCTATTGCTTCATAGATTTATTTAAGTACCCATTACACTTTTTTAAAATCTAGACTGACCAGGAGGTATTAAAATGTACCCAGTCATAGTAGTGGTATGATGTATACTCGGGAGCTATAGTCGGGACCCCATGCAAGAGAGTCCAACACAAGCATGGTGTGTATTTAGGGTTAGGGTCCCTACTGGAACCCTTACTTCACCAAACAGCCGACCACTGGTCCCGGAGGCTATAGGAGGGTCCCCTAGAGTTGAAAAATTCTAGTCACTTCTTTTTTTTTTTTTTCTTTATTGATTTTAGAGAAAGGAAGGGAGAGAAAGATAGAAACATCGATGAGAGAGAACATCGATTGGCCGCCTCCTCCATGCCCCCCACTGGGGATGGGCCCACAACCTGGGCATGTGCCCTGACCGGGAATCGAACCGGCGTCCTCTTGGTGCAGGGTCGACGCTCAACCACTGAGCCACACCAGCCAGGCCCAGTCACTTCTTTTACAGACTTTTTTAAAAGGGAATTTATTGCAGATATAGCAGCCAGGAGCAAAATTGGGTATTCCCCAGGCCATTCGCTGTCCACTTGAAAATGGTCTTACTCTTGGTGACATCCGCGGGGGTGGGGTGGGATGTGTTGGGTGAGCGACCAGATGGCAGGCGCGGATGAGACACTGCGGCATTCCACGTGAACTTTGTCTATGACATAAAAACTTGAGCTCATCTTTGGCCAAAACCTACTTGAATTGATATAATATTCCATTTTTTAAACTTGGAATTTTTAGGAAGATGTTCTCAGATCACATATCTCGGTTGCTGTTGTCACACAGATACTTTCTGTGTGACAGCCTTTGGCCGAGAGAGTGCTGGTCTGTCGTGGGTGCTCTCAGGAGAGGGTGTGCTGTGTACTCAGCATCCTGTGGCTGAGGTCTTAAAAAGAGCATTTATAACTTGTGCTGAATCATGGAGATTATATACTAAATAAAGTTCTTTACGTTGTACAAGGTGTGTCATTTTGTTCAAGGTCAGAAATCAAGGAACCAGCCTATCAGAGCGGATCCAGTGCACGCCGAGGGGGGCTGGCCGCTGCCGGGGCTGAGGCTCCTGGCATGTGCCGTGAGGACTGCTGTCCGTCCGGCTGGGCAGCAGGTTACAATGCGGCACGCCTTGGGGACCATCCCCTCCACCCTCGTTCTTGGCCCCACTTGGATCAGCACTGCGCTGTAGGACTTGCAAGCAGTCTCTCAAATGTGTGTTTATTTTTCTCAGGCAGCGTTTTTCCTTTTCTGGTTGTTTTGAATGATCACTGTGTTTTGCTTCAGAAGGTTTCACGTCTGAATCCTGACCCATGGGGGCGTCACCCTCCAGGGATTTCCTTCTGCAGCCGTAGTTGCTCCCCCGGCTGTGATTAGGGGGGGCTGACGGTTCTAGGTGGTTTGGGCTTTTCCCCACTTTGCTCCATCCAGTGAAGCCAGAGTGGGGGCCACTCCGTGGGCAGGGGCTGGTGCTCATCTCTGCTTCTCGGGTCTCCACACATCAGTTCAGATAATAGGTGGTCACACTTATTTATGATTTCTGGATACTAAGTCATTTTTTCCTTTATTCTTAATTACAGAAGAAATGCATGTTCTTTATTGAGAAGCGTGAACAAAAACACAGGCCTGCCCCCAGCCCCTGCCAGGCCCAGGAGGGTGTGTGTCCCTGTCCAGCAGGGTTCTGTGTGATTATGTCCGAATTAACATCTGGACTCTACTTCTAATAAAAGCATTTTTAATATATGTTGTTTTTACAGAGAGGAAAGGAACGGAGAGAGAGAGAGACGTCGGTCGGCTGGGCTGCACCTCCTGCAGGTCCCGCGTTGGAGATAGAGCCAGAAACCGGGGCCTGTGCCCTGGCCAGGACCCACCTGGCGACCTCGTGGTGCCCAGGATGGTGCTCAGCTAAGTCACACCAGCTGGGCCGGGCCCTTTTCTGCAAAAGCAGGTGGGGTCACACCAGGTGTGCCCTGCTGTTGTGCACACCTGCTCAGGTCTCCCTCACCCCTCTCCATGCTAACGGCATTTCATTTAGCCCCCTGACAGCCCTGGCCAGTTTGCTCAGTGGTTAGAGCGTCGGCCTGCAGACCAGAGAGTCCCGGGTTCGGTTCCCTCTAAGGGCATGTACCTCGGTTGTGGTTTGTCCCCAGCCCTGGTTGGGTCGTGTGGGTGGCAGCCACTCGATGTGTCTCTCTCACATTGATGTTTCTCTCTCTTCCTCCCGCTCCCCCTCCTACTCTATCTGAAGATGAATGCAAAAATGTCCTCGGGTGAGAATAAAATAAATAGCCCCCTGCCAGTGGGGAAACTAGAATGTGGTTGTTTAATTTGTGTTTCTTCACTTGTTCATGGTCCTGAGCCTCCTCACGTATCTGCTGGCAGCCGCTTTTTCTTGTGGTGCGTCTGTTACATGCTTTGCCCACTTTTCTGCTGTGATTTCATCATTTGCTTGGATCATAGCAGCTCTTCGCATATGAAGGAGCCTGTCTTCTGTCTGATGACACTTTCCAGTGTGCTCTCTCCCCTTCTACTCTTAGGGATACAGGCTGCAGGGGTGGGGTGCTCTCTCAAGAGACTGCAGTGTAACAGGACCAAGGCCTCTGTAGTAGAACCCACGTTGGGGGTCGGGGGAGGACCTTGAATCTGTGAGAGGCTGTAGGAGCCGACAGGCACCTCACTCCTTCCCACTGCTCGGAGCAGGCGTGGCCATCGGACCAGGCTGAGTGTGTGGTCCCGTCCCAGGCGGGGTCCCTCCTTGGTGATGCCACCCCACTATCCTCTCCACGGGCTTGGGACACTCCCACCCCAAAAAAGTGTCCTGTGCTCGTGTGCACCCAGCTGTGGCCCCGCGCGCACCTGGCACCTGCTGTCTGGGGACTTTCTCAATAGGCGCAGTGCTAACCACACGGCAGCACATCGGGGATTGGACCACAGGAAGCCAGCAGGGCTGCCGAGGGTGTGGGCACTGAGCAGACGATGGGGGGAGGGGCGGGAAAGGAGGACGAGAGTGGAGGGAACTACTTAAGACAAGTAGATGACAAGAGGAAAGCACTCGTTCACTCAGGGACTCACTGGTCACCGACGTGTGCCAGGGACACGACTGTGAGCAGACAGAACAAATGTCTGTATCTTTCTTGCCTTCCTGGAGCGTTCGTTCTAAGAAACCAGTAGGCGCAGGCCCTGGCGAGGCCCTCGGTCCCTCCCTGTCACACGGTGCCACACATGGGCCTCGGTGGGGACATTCATAGTGAACGGGGCAGCCAGCAGGTGCCCGGTGGCTCCTCCCTCTCAGGTAAATGCTGTCTACTCAGCTAAGGCTGCGGGGGGGGGGGGCACACAGGGCTCCAAACCCCAGGGTCGAGCAGGTAGAGGCACATGTGCTCACCTGGCAAACCTGTATTGAGCGCCTACTGCAAACTCAGGGGCCGTGGGGGCACCTGAGCTGTGGGCACAGATGACAGGACACAGCAGGTGCTGAGCACAGGTGCAGAGAGGCTGGTGGGGCAGCTTGGGACCCCGACTGTGGGAGCCAGGACCCTCCCGCAGGGCTGCCAGAGAAGACTGCCGCCTGGCGCCAGGCAACAGGGCTGCCTAGTGGTACAAGGCCTGGAGAAGGGGTCAGCCCAGGAAGAGCTGGTCTTCCGGAACCTTCTCCAGACCCACCCTCCTGGGAAGGGCTGGAGCCTGGCCCCCAGTCACTGTCCCCTTCTGAGCTCCTCCTGGATGCCCTCAGGTTGAAGGCCCTGGGGAGCAGGTGGGGACGGTGAGCCGGCTTCGTGGCCTCAGTGGAGCCCCCTCCTGGTCAGTCTCATTTTCCGTGTTACAGACGGACTTCCCCTTGCACAGTGCTGGGCAGACAACGCAGCACAGCGCCTGCCAGTTCCCGCCCTTCTGGAAATGCCCAGAAAGGGTGCTGCCTCCCGGGGAGGAGGAGGAAAACTGGGTCACTGAGGAGAGGGACGGGAGACGCAGAGACGTCAGCCCATCCAGGGAGCACTTACCGAGAACACCGTCAAAGCCCAGATGAGTCGGAAATGAAACCAGGACGTCCATCGGCTGGAGACGGCCTCTGTGGCCCTGCCTCCCTGGCCATGTGCTGTGGTGCCTGTGTCCCTGCAGACAGCTGTGTCCCTCGTGGCCTCTGCTCCCGCCCTGTGTCCCACCCCGACAGGCATGCCCGGGTCTGATCTGTTCTTACCCAGCGACACACACCAACTAGAATAGACACAGGCAAAGGATGTCAGCCCAGGATTAGGTACAGAGGTTGTGAAGAATGGGTGGGTGTTCTGTTTCTCTCTGTCTGTCTCTTTCTCTCTCTCTATCACTCTCGCTGTCTGTCTCTCGCTGTCTCTGCCTCTGTGTGTGTGTGTCCGTCTCGCTCTCTCTCTCTGGTCCCTCACTCAGACACCACATCACCTCAGCTCTGGAGGCTGGAAGTCCAGGCTGTAGGTACTGGCAGCTTGGCTGGCTGCTGAGAGCCCCCATCCTGGTTTGCAGATGGGTGTCATGGGTCCATGTGGATGGGCAGGGGCACTGTGGGGGTCTCTTTCATGAGGGCAGTCACCCCTTCACGAGGGCTCCACCCTCCTGACCTAATCACCACAGGCCCTACCTCCTGACACCATTGCATTGGGGGTTAGGTTTACAACACGAGTTTTGGGAGCGACAACGTTCCGCCGATGGCATGGAGGAGGGCCAGCCAGTGTTGTTAATAAAAAGAGAGAAACAGGTGACCACACAGAAACAGCAAGGCCTTGCAGAACACGTGTTCACTGAACACTTACTACGTGCCTGGCATGGGCCTAGGCCCAGGGACTTGGCTCTGGGATGTGACGGGATGGTCCCCCATGCTGTCAGTCTGACAAATCGTGTGGTAAGGGCTCGGTTGGAGGCAACTTATAAAATAACACAGCCCAGCCGGTGTGGCTCAGTGATTGAGCGTCGACCCTGCACCAAGAGGTCGCCGGTTCAATTCCCGGTCAGGGCACACGCCCAGGTTGTGGGCCTGATCCCCAGTGGGGGGCGTGCAGGAGGCGGCCAATCGATGTTCTCTGTCATCCATGTTTCTATCTCTCCCTCTCCCTTCCTCTCTCTCTCAAGTCAATAAAGAAAAAATATTTTTAAAAAAGTAAGACAGATTTGCGTGAAAAGAAGCGGGGGGTAAGAAGTACCTGTTAGCGCCCTGGCCGGTTTGGCTCAGAGGTTAGAGCGTCGGCCTGCGGTCCAGGGAGACCCGGGTTCGGTTCCCGCTAAGGGCACGTACCTTGGTTGCAGTT